TTGTTGTTGTCGCAGGTCCGTTTGTTCTCGTGCCTCTCCTCCCACCTGTCCTTACCCCCCGTGTTCTAACCACTTCAGTACGCCATACAGCAGAGGAACATAATTAATTTTGACCTCTAAACCGGTTACTCCTTGTCAACAGGTCATCTGTGAGTGCTTTTCTTTCTTTTCCTCTATGTTCAAGCAGCGTTGAAGCCGTCGCATCTGCCTCTCGTCCGAAGCATGACCAATTGCCTTCTGCGCGCAAACAAAAAGGCGCAAAGTAGATCAACTTGGTTGAAAGGAGTCGCTGGACGTCAAGAGCTGTTTACGACTGTTGTCTAGACTGGTTGCTGTGGTGGCTTCAATTCGTTGCTCGTTCCCGACTCCTGACACATACCTCCGTTCTTGACCGTTTCTGCCTCCTTTTTCTTGATTTCTTATATCTGTCCTTCTTATCATACACCAATTCATCATTCACCATTGAAGAAATCCAATTACTGACGCGTTGGTTGTTAGAACACACCTAAACAAAACCGCGTTTAGAACACCATGGCTTCAACCGAGGACCCCATCGCTCCCCCTCCGGCTACAGATACCGATACGGAGAACGTGCCTCCTCCGGCCACTCCCGTCGAATCCTCTGTCATGTCCGGCAGTGAGGATCCCGTTACCAGCCCTGAGGCCAGCAAGGACAAGGAAGATTCCAAGGAAAATGTCAAGCCGTCTCCTACCAAGACCGCTTCTTCCACCACCAGCACCGGCACGACCAAACGGCCCTTGTCGGGGTCGACTCCCACCACGAGACGGCCTACTTCCACCACATCGGCTTCCAAGACTACCACCGCCTCATCGCGCACGTCCACTAACGGTGGTACGCTAAGCAAGCCTCCTACGCGTCCGACCACCACCGCTTCCACCGCAACTCGCAGACCCCTGAGCTCTGCCACGACCGCTTCCCATCGTTCCCGCGCATCTGTCAGTAGTTCCGCGGATGAAAAGTCGCGCTTGAGCTCTAGCGATGAGAAGAAGGGTATCTCCGGAACGGCCAAGCGCATGTCGCTAGCGGGCACTCCTTCCACACGCGCCCCTACCAAGCCAACCACATCCACCTTGGACCGCAGGTCTAGTGTGGCTGGCACCACAGCGGAACGGAAGACTACGTCCCGTCCGAGCAGCTTGGGAGGTTCTACTGCCAAGCCGGCTACGAAACCGGTGACTTCGACTTCTACGACTCGCACGTCGACAACTGCCACGCGACCCACCTCCCGTCCGACTTCCACCAGCACGACGAAGCCAAGTGCTGTTTCCGATGCGCGCAAGCGATTGAGCACGGCCACCCCATCTTCGGCTACCAAGGCTGCTGAACAAGATGCCGAGAAGCTGCAGGCGCTCCAAACCCAGCTCTCGGAAAGTGAGGGCACTGTCGCCAGTCTCCGGGCAGAATTGGAGTCTGCTAACGAAAAGTTGGGTCAACTCTCGGTCTCCGGAGAGGGTGAGTCCAACAAGGATGACTCTGCTTCTGATGCTCTCAAGGCCGAGCATGCCGCTGAAGTCGAGCGCTTGACTGCAAGTCACGAGCAGGCGCTCAAGGCATTGCAGATGCAGCTCGAAGAAGCGGACACTAAGCGGAAGGAATTGGAAGAAAAGTCGGTCCAGGACCTTGATAACGCTGCGAAATCCGCTGCTGAGCAGGGTGACGACAAGACTGCTGCTGCTTTTGAAGAACTGAAGGAGTCCCACCAGGCCCAGCTGGCGGCACTTGAGAAGGAGCTGTCTGAACAGAAGGCCTCTGCAGCCGAGTACGGGGAGGAAGTCAACACCCTCAAGCAGGAGCTCGAAACTCTCAAGGTCACTTTCCAGGAGGAGAAGGCTATGGCTCTCGAAGGTCTGGAGCGGGAACTCAAAGGACGCGATCAGGTCATCGAGAATCTGAACACGGAGATGCAGCGATTGGACGATACCAAGGAACAGGAGGTGCGCACCGCTGAGGAGAACGCTAAGCAAACCGTCTCGGGTCTTGAGGAGAAGGTCGCATCGCTCGAAGCCAAACTCAGTGAAATTGAACCCGCAGACGCAGAAAAGAAGGTTGATGATGAGGCCTCGTCGCCAGAAGCTGTGGCTGAGAAGGAGAAGGAGGTTGCAGAGCTCAAGCAGGCCTTGGAGAAGCTCCAGAGTGAGCTCGAAGAGACCCGCGCAACGGCCGCTACAGAATTGAACGAGAAACTCAAGGAGTTGGAGTCCAACCACGAAGCAGCAATTGCCAAGCTCAAGGCCGAACACGAAGAGGCTCTGGCCTCTGCTGCTGCATCCCACGCGCAGGAATTGGCTGTGGCCAAGGAGGCTGTCGAATCGTCTGACTCTACCGCCAAGTCCCAGGAGCTCCAGGAGCTTCGCGAGGCACTCGATGCCTCCAATGCGGCTGCGCTTAAGGGACGGGAAGAAGCTGTCAGCGAAATCAAGACTGCGCACGAGGCGGAACTGCAATCGCTCCAGCAGAAGCTTGAGACGTCCGAGCAATCCTTGACCGACGCCAAGCAATCTGCCGAAGAGGGTGCTAGCTCCGGCCAGGAGGTCGAATCCCTCAAGGAGAAGATCGCGGCCCTGGAGTCTCAACTGTCGACCGGCGAGGAGACTGCCCAGAGTAAGCAGCAAGAAGCAGAGGCACTGCAACAAAACCTCTCCGCTCTTGAGGAGAAGGCCAAGGCCAACGAGGAGCGGGCTGCTGCCGCGGAGAAGGCGCTCGAGGAGCACACCCAGCAAACTACTGGCGCCACTGAGGATCACTCGCAGGCCCTGGAGGTGTTGAAGGCAGAACACACCGCGGAGCTCGAGAAGGTCCGGGCTGAGGCTTCCGAATCTCATGAGGGTGCCCTGCGTGATATTCAGTTGAAGCACAACGACCTAATGTCCAAGCACCAGGACTTGGAATCTAACCATGGACAAAAGGTGGAGGCCCTCGAGGCCGAGTTGAAGACTGTCCTGGAACGCCACACGGGTGAGATTGCCTCGCAGACCGAGCTCCGGGAGAAGGAGGCCGCGGAACTCCAGCAGCAGTTTGAAGAGACCAAGGCCAGCTTGCGCGCTGAAGTGGAGGCAGCTCAGTCATCCAAGACTGCGGACGCCGAAGCTGAGCACAGCAAGGCCATTGAGACGCTCCTTGGCGCTCAGGAAGAGAAGATGTCTAAGCTCCGTGCCGATCTCGAGTCGTCCAACCAGGTCAAGCTCGATGAGCTCCAGAAGTCTCACGACGATGTGTTGGCTGAGATTAAGGGTCAGCTGGCTGAGGCTCAGTCCGCAGCCCAGGACACCTCTGTGCTTGACGGTCTCAAGTCCACGATTGCGGACCTCGAGCACAAGCTGGCTGAGGTTGAGGCGAAGTCAAACGCTGCCGGTGATGAATTGGCCACCAAGCACAGTGCTGAGAAGGCTGAGTTGGAGCAGAAGGCCCAGACTGCCAACGCGCAAGTGGAAGAGCTCCAGAAGTCTCTCGGTGCATCCGACAGTGCCAGGGCTGAGATCGATAACGTCCTGAACCAGCTTGCGGCCTCGCAAGAGGAACTGACCCAACTGAAGACTAAGAGCGAGGCTGCCAGCAACGAGCTTGAACAGTCCAAGACGCAAACCCGGAACTTCGAGGAGAAGCTCGCCCAGGGCGAGAAGGACCTGAACGACCAGATCGACAAGAACATGTCGCTGCTGAACCAGCTGGGTGAAGTCGACTCGGCAATCGCAGCCAGCCGCAAGCGTGTTCGCGAGTTGGAAGCCGAGGTGGCCGGACTGAAGAGTGGTGCCAAGGGCCTCGAAAGCAGTCGATGGGCGCCAGAGAACAAGGAGGACGCTGGTCCAGCCGCAACGGAAGGTGAGGACCTCGGTTCATCTATTGAGGGAACGGTGGGACATCCCTACTCTTCCGGACTTTCCATTTACCACCCTTTCCTTTAACACCACGCCCCTTGTCCAAGTTCCCTCTTATTGACATTTTACTAATGAGAACGCGTTTGTTCGTTTTTCTCTTCTTCTGTAGATGGCCAGCCTTCAGGAACAACTTAAGTTTATTCGAACGACCAACGATGACTGGTGCGATGAACACAGACGGTATCCCTTCCCTGTCTCCCTGTCTCTTGAGTTTATGCTAACGTTTACAGACTCGTCACCGACCTCGTGCACTTATCCGAGAAAGTCACCGGCGAGAACAGCCACCCGTCGACCCCCCGTCCTGAGCTGATGTTGCGAAGCGGAAGTGAGCGATCTGGGGAGACATCGTCGTAACCGGTCATGTTGGAGGAGATGGTGAACGGTGAATGGTGAATGTTTTGGGATGGTTTAAATAATAATTTCCTTTGTATCAATTAGACTTGTATGTGTGTACATGTAATATCGAGATGATGCTCAGCCATGCTTCCACTCTTTGGATTCAGGGTTACCCCTGGTGTTCTGGATTGTAAATACTCGGATACCTTTCCTAATCTCGGGTTTCAGATTTGCAACATATCCTGTATATCACGCTTCTACGGACAAACGGGAGTGCATCCCGACCTAAAAATACACCAGTGTCGACTAACATGTACTGTTAAATCAAATGAAGCAATGAATTTCAACAAAAGGAACATTCCTTCGAGTCAAAACGACCTAACAATACATCTATGTAGCAGTAGTAGTAGCAGTAGTAGTAGCAGTACTTATGCAAACCCTCCGCACCACGGCGGGGGGAAAAGAAAGGGCTATTTATCAACTTTCCAAATCAAAAACCCCATTTTAATGACCCTTCCTAACCAACTCCTCAAGCTTCTTCCGGCCCTCACCAATCTTCTCCTCCATCATCATCCGCGCCATACCACTGTGCGCAATGCCAGTGTGCCAGATATGCTCCGCCTTCTCCCTAAGCAGCAAATGGTTCTCCGCCACCGCCGGAACCCGCTTCTCATACTTCCAGACCAACTCGGAGACATTCCGCATAGTCACGGGCAGCAAAGACCACGCAGCCACGGTACCGAACGCAAGAGGCGACGCAGAGCGCAAGATGAAGCCCCGGTTGCGCGAGACAATGGAGCCAGCCATGGCGGCGACAACCACGTACACGCCACCGGGCATCAACCGCTCACCGGACTCGGGGGCCGGGGCCAGAGACGCAATGGTGTTGGTGAAGGCGTTCTCGATGTGCAGGGCGCGGCTGAGGAAGTTATTGAAGCCGGTTTCCACGGCGAGCGAGTTCTCGTACAGGAAGAGACGGGCTTGGCGGACCTGAGTCGTTAGGATGTCTGTCGGGGTGGGCGACGACGAGGTCGACGACAACGACGAGGAAAGGGCAGGGGACGAGGGAGTCTCGGTCTCAGTGGACTTGGGGGCGTCTGAGATCGCGATTGGGGCGGGTTTGGCGGGAGCAGGTTCTGAGGGCTCGGGGAAGTCGTCGTAGATTGATTTTCTCTGCAATTGACATATTAGATAGCACACTTGAGTATTCGGAGTAGAAAGAGAACATACCGGAGCCTCTGCGAATGCCGTCCGGTTGGGATAGAGCGAGATACCACCCGCCAGAAGGGTGGCAGCGATCGGAGCAACAGCCCGCTGCAGAGGTTAGTATAGAGGGCCCTGCCAGAGGAGGAATAGAGCACTCACCTGCTTCAACACTGGCCGGAATGACATTTCGACGAGTTAGCCAATGGCTCAAAAAGTATTATTGTGAGAGCAAGGTTCTCTGGGAAAGTGACGACCGCCGAAGAGAGGTTGCGCCAAGACTTTGTGCGGCTCTTTCCGGGGACGAAAAAAAACCTCCACTACTACCACCACTAACCTCTCTATATCTGCGGAGTACTACTACAGATAGTGATCAATGGGATAACTGATGAGCATCATGTTGGCGCTATATCGCCGGCCATGGACTTGCCGACAATGCCTCCAACGACTACGCTCCCGACGAGCCTTTGCGACGGCAACCTCGACGGCCACAGCGTCTGATTACATTCCGGTATATCAAAGAACGCAGAAGAAGAGTGCGGACGATGCTACGCTGCGGCGGGTCTTCGACTCGCAGGCGTTCTGGAAAGAATTCTCGCAGCGGAGTTCCGCAAGCCTTAAGCCGACCGGACTGGTGCAGAACCAATACTTGACAACTCCAGACGGATTCCGGGAATTTGCTGGTGTATCGCTGCAGAAATGCCAAGCGATCGTGGCCAGAGTCCTGGGGGCCTCGATGGTGGACGAGTATCGGAAAATGGCGCGGGATTTGGATCGTCTGAGTGACATGCTGTGTCGGGTGATTGATCTCTCCGACTTTATCAGGGTTATTCATCCGGACCCGCGCATGCAGGAAGCGGCGACGCAGGCTTATGCATTGATGTTCGAGTACATGAACATTCTCAACACGACCACCGGACTACATGATCAGCTGAAAAAAGCGTTTGCGAATCCGGAGGTGACGTCGCACTGGAGTGAAGAGGAGATGATCGTGGCGCAGATCTTGATCAAGGACTTTTCCAACTCCGCAATTCATATGCCGCCTAACGAGCGACAGCGGTTTGTGAACCTGTCCAACGAGATCAGCCAGGTGGGATCGGAGTTTGTGAACAGCGCCGAACCTGCCAAATCCCACGTGGTTGTGAATACGAACAGTCTCCGTGGCTTGGATCCGATTGTGGTGCAGAAGATCAAGCGATGGAACCGGACAGCACCGGTGCCAACGATGGGGTTGATCCCCCGGTTGGCGTTGCGGTCAGTCCATGACGAGGAAGTCCGGAAGGAGATCTATCTGGCAACTCGGACATCGAGTACACGACAAGTGCATCGACTTGAGCAACTTCTTGCGAGACGGGCGGAACTGGCCAAGCTCTCTGGGCACGAGAGCTTTGCGCACATGACGCTCAGTGACAAGATGGCCAAGTCGCCAGAAGCAGTATCGAACTTCTTGACGTCCCTGGTGGGAAGCAACCGGGAACACGTCCAGGAGGAACTCTCGAAGCTGCAAAGCTTGAAGGGACCTTCGTCGTCCCCCATGCAGCCATGGGACCATGCATACTACGTGCACCGACGGGTCATGGAGTATTCGCACGCCCGCCGTTCGCGAGAACTCAACGCCGTCCCGGAGTTCTTCTCCCTGGGAACCGTGATGCAGGGTCTCTCGCGACTGTTCGATCAACTCTACGGAGTCCGTCTAGTCCCACAGGAAACAGGCCCAGGCGAGACCTGGAACCCAGACGTCCGACGACTAGACGTAGTCGACGACTCTGAGCGCCACATCGCAGTCATCTACTGCGACCTCTTCTCGCGCCCCAACAAACTCCCCAACCCAGCACACTTCACCCTCCGCTGCGCGCGCGAGATCTCCACCGAAGAAATCGCCGAGTGCGCTTCCCTAGCCGACTCCACGCACCACCCCAACGACGGCATGGCCACAGCCGTCGACCCAACCACCAAAACCCTCCGCCAACTCCCCACTATCGCGCTGGTCTGCGACTTCCCCGAACCCGCCAGCACAAGCGGCCGCCCCGCCCTCCTCAGCGAGCACAGCGTGCGCACCCTCTTCCACGAAATGGGCCACGCCCTGCATTCGATCCTCGGCCAGACCCGTCTACAATCCATCTCCGGCACCCGCTGCGCAACCGACTTCGCCGAACTCCCCTCCGTCCTCATGGAACACTTCGCAACAGCCCCAGAAGTCCTATCCTTATACGCACGCCACTGGCAAACCGACGCCCCGCTGTCAGAATCCATGATGCGAAGCATGGCACTCGACCGCACAGCCCACGGCTCCATCTACGGCGCCGTCGAAAACGAAGCCCAGATCCTCATGGCCCTCGTCGACCAGGCGTATCACTCCGCGCCCCCCGGCTCAGCCATCAACAGCACAGCCGTCTACCATGACGTCTTCAGCAAGCACTCCAGCCTGCCTGACCCCGCGGATGCACAACCGCCTACTTCGTGGCAGGGGTTCTTTGGGCATTTGTACGGCTACGGCGCGACGTATTACAGTTACATCTTCGATCGCGCAATTGCGAATAAGCTTTGGGAAGACGTGTTCCAGGGTGGCAAGGCGGCTGTGGACCGTGAGGCTGGGGAGAGGTATAAGAATGAAGTGTTGCGGTTTGGTGGAGGGAGGAGTGGATGGCATTGTGTTGCTGGTGTTTTGGGGGAGAGTAATCCCTCGAATGCGAATGGGAGACTTGTGGAGGGTGGTGATGAGGCGATGCGTGAGGTTGGGAGGTGGGGTTTAGGACGTGATGGTGTTTCTGGCTAGTTTTGGTTAAGATGATATGATCTGACATGAATCTGTGTTATATGTAACGACCTGATCTGACCTGTACTGTATAAAAACGATGTTTTAGAAAGATGTGTTTAGAATAGTAATACAGTATAGAACGAAGATATGTCGCATCTTGTGAATTGGTATGGCTAAGTATACATGGACAAAGCGGTCAAGCCCCCAAGTCATAGCATGGAATATAGCACCCATTCAAGCATCAATATGAGCGTTTCATTGGCCATGACGCATGAACAAGCATGATGATATGTAAGTTGCCAGCTCAAGCTCTTGATAACTGGATTGGAATCAATAAGCGCATGGCAACAGTATGAGGGCTTGCCCCTACCGAGATGGCAGACAGCAAGATTCTTGCATCATCACCCATCCCAAGCTGCGGGGAATAGCAGGGTTGCAGGGTTTGGTCTTCGGGCTGAAAGATGGCCTCCTTTTAACCTAACATAGCACAACCTAGCTCGCAGGCGTCTCCGACTCAGCGGGTGCAGGACTAGCGGAATCTGACGGTGACGGTCCAATTTTCGGCGGCGGAGGCAATGGTGTCCCTCCCCTCGACGGCGCATAATCCTGTTCCCTACTCTTCTGCTCTCCTTCGGCAAAGTACTCATCAAATCCACGACTGGGTGACAATGCAGCATGGCGCGGTTTCCGACGTCCGGCCGCCTTATTCCCTGATGGCGGGGGCAGGTTCCCGTTTGGAGAGGTAAACGGCGGCGGAGCAGGCATATTTGCCGGGACCAGGAAGTGACCTCCGCCAGAAATACCTCCCAGGTTGGGATTGAAGGGATCAGCAGCGACAGGTGTTGAAGTGCCATCCTCTCGTGTCTCGAATACCACCTCGCCCGGTCCTTCGACTTCCTCTCCCAACCCGACGGGTAGTCGATGTAATGCGCCGTAGCCCAACTCCGCACCTAATGCACCTTCACCACCCCAGCCTCTAGTCGGTACCAGCTCAACTTCCCGAACCACGTCGAATTCATTATTGTACACCCACAGCACGAGCGTTCGATCCAGGTGGTCCTCCACTAATTCCCCGAGTGCCGACTCGCCTCGTAATGTGCCGCTGGGAGTTCCGATGATATAGTCTGAATGAGGAAGCAATCCTGCGCGGTATGCTGGACTGAGCGGAGATGGAATCGAGAGTACGTGCCAGATGTGCTGGGTCGAAGAGAGGGGAGCTAGTTGCAATGCGACTCCGAGGGAGGGGTTCGCGGGGGAGATGGGGATCGAGACGGTGTGTGTTCGTTGACCCTGTATTTCTCTTAGTCACTGCGCATCTATAGATGAAATAGAGAGGTTTACCTTTGCGCTCCAGATGTCAAAGGTCACACTCGAGCCTGCGCAGTTGCGGACTTCGGTAGCAAAGAGGTTCGGGTCTGGGTCTTCCTGCAATAACGTATTAGTATCATATCAAAATATCGATATAAACAGACTCCCACGCACAATAGGATGTCCATTAATCCCAACAATGAAGTCAAACCACGGCTCCAAGGGCAGTTCGGGGTCCTTGTTGCGCAGGACCTGGAAGCCAAAGGACGTGCTCTCTCCAGTGGGATCCCGCGGTTCCCGAGGCGCCTCGTCCAGACGTCCGATAAAGCGATTCAATGCGCCAAACATGTTGCAATGTATCAAGCAGGTTTGAGAATAGAAAAGTCCTGGAGGTACTCGGAGTAGGAGGAAGGAAGTAAACAGTCCCTCCGCCACGTCGGGTGCTCTCTCAGGTGCAAACAGGACAAACACTCCGTCACGCTATCAGTTTATCGCGACTTTCTTTGCATACAACTTTCTATATTTGATGATTAGATGACTGAATAGAGTCTCTATTGTCTCTTGCCATGGCTGACGATACGGAAGAGGTTCCTCCAGAGGTGCATCACTACAATCACAAGGGTGAAGTGCCATGGGATATTCAGAAGTGTGCCCTCTTTCCCCCCGGTTGTTATTGGATTGCAAGATACTGACAGAATCTAGTTACTGGTCCCAGCGCTATAAGATCTTCTCTCGATATGATGAGGGTGTCTGGTTGACCGATGATGCCTGGTTCGGAGTCACTCCAGAACCCGTCGCCAAGTTCGTCTCTCTGGTTCTTCCTTTGGACGATAACTAATACGGAGATATAGTAAAATAGCAGAGCAAGTCGCTGAGTCCGCACCAGACGGGCGCAGTATCCTCGTCGACGCATTCGCAGGAGCTGGTGGAAACACCATTGCCTTTGCCCGGAGTGGAAGATGGAAACGAATCTACGCCATTGAAAAGGATCCGGCTGTGCTGCGATGCGCCAAACACAATGCCAAGGTCTATGGGGTTCAAGACAAGATCACTTGGTTTGAGGGCAGTTGTTTTGATATTTTGAAGAACCAGCTCAAGGACTTGGCTCCGTACGGTATCATTTTTGCGAGTCCTCCGTGGGGTGGTATGTGTTCCCTCCCTTTCATTTACTTTGTCTGGATAGAACTGACAGTTCGCAGGCCCGGGATACCGCTATGATCAGGTATTCAATCTACGTACTATGGAACCGTACTCTCTGGCTGCCTTGTACAAGGAGTACTCTGCTTTCTCAGAACACATGGTCCTGTACCTTCCTCGGACGTCTGATCTACGGCAACTGGCGAAGGTGGTCGAGGATGGCCAGAAGGTGACGGTTATGCATTACTGCATGGAAGGGGCCAGTAAAGCGCTGTGTATTTTCTACGGTGGATTTAATGTACAATGATAGAATGTAATCATAATATGACTTGCTGGCTACATATGAATAGTAGTAGTATGGGCATTCACAGCTGATTACCCGATACGGACTAGCGCCAAGCCTGCGCGCCTCCAACGCCGCGATTCTCTCATCCCTCCAACAACTCACGCCCATCGCTATTTCGACGCTTCTTTCCCTCACCAAACAGCGTCAGGTCGGCTGGGTCTTGCCGTACTGGCCGGTCTCAATGTGCACTACGACTTAATCCCGTGACATTCCAGTCTCTCGCGCGATCGCATCAACCCGAGCCTCAACCCGGTTTTAACCACGACCCTCGCTCACCTTCATCGCCAGTCCCCAAAGCTATTGTCAAACAAAATGCCTCACGCTACCGAGACAGGGGCCCCCGAGGTCGAGGATTCCGACTTCGATAATGTCATGCGACAGATGAACGGTCCCATGGAGGGGAACATTTCTTTCGACTTCTTATCCCGAGAGCTGGATCCCGGCGAGAAAGCAGACGACGCGGTCGACTACGAAGATATCGAAGATGACGATGACCTCCCCGAAGAAGAAGCCGTGCATATTCGAGCCCCGGCAGGAAATGGTGTCGCTGTAGAGGATGACGAGATGAAAGATATGTTTGGTGGAGGTGAAGAGGAGGATCTTTTTGGTGATGGGGGAGAAGAGCAGCCGGAACGGGCACCAGAGGATGATTTGAATGACCTTTTTGGTGAAGAGCCTTCTGACCAGGTCGATGCGACACGAGATTTGTTTTTCGATGAGGAGGAACACCAACAGCCAGCACCGTCCGCCGTGCCAGAGCAGCCTGCCCAACCCCCGCCTCCCGAGCCTCAGCCTGTCGTGATGGAAGAAGTAAAACAGGAGGAATATGATGAAATGGAAATACCGGAAGATGAACCCCCCAGCGTCGAAGACATGGATCCAGCATCGCTTCGCGCATGGAAGCTTCAGCAAGCTCTGTTCGCCATGTCGTCCACCCTCGGTCCTGATAACCCGCCAGCTCCGCCTGAGAACTCTGAAGAACTCCTGCATTCGCTATTTCCTGGCTTCGACCGCCATACACTACCCCGATTTCTGGAACTCATCCCCCACAAGAAGGCTTATTTCGTCGGGAAACTGCCTCTTAAACCGCCAAGGCCTGTTCTGCCGACCAAAGTCAACCTCGAACTTGCCCAGGATCAGGAAAGAGCTTTCAAATCAGCTGGACATGGTTTCAAGCGCACACTTGACGCTGAGCATATGGGGCTCGTACCTGTTACTGAGTCTCCACAGGACGAGGAGGAGGAGGAGGAAGAAGAGGATATCCGAGAGGACCTGGAGCACGACGTGGACCCATCCGAAGTACTTCCCGGGGGGGTCAGTATGCAGGACCTCAGAGTGATCTGCACAGACTGGGATACCAAAGATGATGATTCTGTGATGGACATTGATCTTCCAATCGAGGAACCGGAGCAGCCTGTTGACGAGGACGACTGGCTCGTAGAGACCATTCAGCCTACGAAGAAACGCAAGGTCGGGAAAGACCCGTTGGATTTCATCGCTCTATCTCACATTGACTTCCCGCTGCTCGATGACCCTGAAAAAGCAACTTCGCGGGTTGCTCAGAAGGTTACTGTCGACATGAACGATCCTTACATACTCCTCGACGAGCGTGGGCCAGAATCTGCGGCACAGAAGCCCAAGGCCTTGGGAGCCATTCAAGGAGAAGAGGTCGATGCCAATGTTACTCGACGCTTCAACCAGCGCTACAACATCTCGAACGATCAAGCGTACGACATGCTCAAACAGAATCACCAGAACAAGATCCGGAGCACCTTGGGCAATTTCACCCTCGAGCACAGTATGCCAGCGTTGCGCTTACAGTGGCCTTACTACAGAACCGAGCTTGCTAAAGCAGAAGCACGATCGTTCCACCGTCCAGCCTTGTCTTTCCGACCTGGTCAAACATCCTGGTTCAAGAACCCTGCGCACGTCAAGAGGAAGCACATCAAGGGCAAGGATCCCAGGGGTATCTTCGATTCTACAAAAGCTCTGTCGCTGGCCGACAACTCGAACGCCATGCTGGTCGAATATTCGGAAGAAGCGCCTCTCATGCTGTCGAATTTTGGAATGTCCAACCGCTTCGTCAATTATTACCGACGGAAAAACGCAGAGGACGACTCACGTCCAAGAGAGCGTTTGGGTGAAACCGTCGTTCTGTTGCCCCAGGATAAAAGCCCGTTCTTCATTTTCGGACATGTTGATCCTGGCGAGGTTACCCCGACGATTTCGAATACGATGTACCGGTCCCCGGTGTTCTCGCATTCGGCCAAATCAACCGACTTCTTGGTGATCCGCAGCAGTACTGGCTCCGGCGGTAGTGACTATTTCCTCCGAAATATCGAGAATCTCTACGTTGCCGGACAACAGTTCCCCTGCACGGACATCCCCGGCCCGCACTCACGCAAAGTCACCACCGTCGCCAAGAACCGCATGAAGATGCTTGTCTACCGATTGCTAAAGAAAAGCCCCGACCTGCGACTTTCCATCAGCGACGTTACCGCGCATATCCCAGGTACCAGCGACATGCAGAACCGCCAAAAAGTCAAGGACTTCTTACAACACGACAAAGACTCAAAATACTGGGTACCCCTAGAACCAATCCCCGACTCCGACGCGATCCGCTCCTGGGTCCAACCCGAAGACGTCTGTCTGCTAGAATCCATGCAAGTCGGCCAACAACACCTCCACGACACAGGCTACGGCAACGACGCCGAAACTGGCGGCGGCGGCGACGAAGAAGACGAAGAAAGCGAATCCTTCGAACAACAAATGGCCCCCTGGAAAGCATCCCGCAACTTCCTCCTCGCATCGCAGGGCAAAGCCATGCTAAAACTCCACGGCGAAGGCGACCCCACCGGCCGCGGCGAGGGCTTCAGTTTCGTCAAGACCTCGATGAAGGGCGGCTTCAAGGCCGTCGGCGAAAGTGTCGAAGACAAACTTGACGCGCAGCGCCTCAAAGAACTAGGAGGCCATAGCTACAACGTCGCCAGACAGCAAAGATCCTACGAAACATCCATCCGCCGCATCTGGGATTCTCAAAAAGCAAGTCTGTCCTCGACAGCCGAACACTCGGAGGGGGAAAGCGACATCGACAACGAAGAGGAAGAGTTTGGGAAAACACCGCGCTCGGAAGCACCTACACCCGGACCCGCACGTCGGGACGACGAAACAACATCCCAGTTTAGTAAGATGAGCATGGGCATGGGTGATCAGAAGGGCAAGGTGCTGCGTATTGTACGACATTTCAGAGACGAGAATGGCCAGATTGTTCCCAAGGAGACGCTTGTTTGGGATCCAAGGGTTATCAAGCAGTATATGCAACATCGATTCCAGCAGGAAGCTGTGACCACGAAGTACGCTACCTTCTCCAACCCCCTGCAAAATTGGATAGTGCTAATTCTACTTCAGACTCGAATCCCTCCAACCAACCGGCGATCCCGAAATCGACGCCCGAAACAAAAGACTGTACGTCCTCCCTTCCTACCCTTTCCTTCCAAATAACAACCCAATTAACCTAAAACAAAAACAGCCTCGAAGCCGAACTAAGCCGCCTAAACCGCAACAAAGAACGCCGCTTCGCACGCGAGAAACAAAAAGGCGCTGTCCGCGGTACTACAGGCGACTCACCAGCCGATGGCGGGAAACCAGCCGGTACGCAGCGCAAGTGCGCGAATTGTGGACAGGTTGGGCATATTAAGACTAATAAGAAGTGCGTCCCTCCCCTCTTTCTATCCTTGACCTTTGGTGGTGGAAGTGATTAATGTTAACGATGTCCAGGCTATGTCCCCTTCTCAACGGTACGATGAAGCCGGAAGATCGGGTTGCGGATTCGGCTTTTGCGATGGGTGCTCCTCCTGCTATTTAAACACTCCTTCTCTTCGATTCTTCTAGTGATACCCCTCTTCTTTTCTCTTTTCCCTTCTCCTTCTACCTCCGATGTGTTTATGAATATTTGTGTTTATACTCGATACATCCGTTGCTGCATATTTTGTCTTTTTGTCGTTTCCCAGGCATGATCATGAGTGCTGGGCAAATTGGAATGCATCATTTGGTGTTGATGGCTTCAACGTTATTCGAGTCTAATTCTGTGCTTCAACTTGACATCCGAAATTATTCTGTACTCGAATCCATGTACAAAGTGCTCCTACGGTACAGCAGGCGTTAAAAATGATATCAGGTTCTCTTTTGCGATGGCTCATCACTCTAAAAATGTCTAAAGATATATATACACGCTCTCGACTGAAATAATACGTCCAAAAATCCAAAAATCCAAAATTCCAAAAAGGTATCCAAAAATTCTGTTCATAACGCAGAGAAACACCAACAAAGATGACGACCAGGTATAAGAATATGGACATGGCTCAGCATCCATACAAATCCGACAATCGCCCTCTTGACACCAGCGGTCGTCCCCGTTCACCATTCAGCGCCAATGCCACAGGCTTCGGTCGACGATAGGTATACCCTAGAAACGCATCCTTCTGCCGCATTTCGAGAACCGTCATTCCTACCCCCTCATCCCGCAAGATCTTATCCCGGGCTCTGCCCTCCTTGGCTCTCTTCTTCTGTGTCTTCGCTCCACATGGCACTTTGTTGGCCTGCGCCGCAGCCAGAGCCATCTCACCGGGAGTTGCCTCGGCGGTCTGCGAAGGAGCCTCCAGAGCAGTTTCCGGCGCGTTGGGAGTGTTGCCGTCAGGAGGGCTTTGGAATGGATCCTCGAAGTATTGAGTATCGTCCCAGTCCCGAACTACAGGAATGAAAGGCGGCGTTGACCGATGAAGCGCATCCCAATTGATCCCGCGAAAAAACGGGTGCGCCTTGATATCGCTCGCATCGTTGGGACAGACATACATGCCTCGATAGTTCCGGTACCGCGGGTCCATGCCTTTGAAGAAGCTCCTTTCTGCCAGATCGTTGAGTCGGTAATTGCGAGCAGACAGGCGATACTCCTTTTCCTGAAGAAGTTGGCTTATGAGGTCAATGGCATCAGTTGATACGAACTTGTCAGATAGTCTCTGCATCGGAAAATGCAAGATTTGGTGGTGATTCTTGAATCGTTAGCCCTCCATAAACAGTATCAATCGCTCTTCTCGATGCCACTTACGACTATCTTGAGCTTCGTCGTGAATCGGTCATCCGACACAAACGGCGTGAACCCATAAAGACACTGCGAGCGTCAGAAGGCCCAATTTCTCATCTTTAGTAGGCTCTTACCTCGTATAGAATGATCCCAATGCTCCACCAGTCACACCGACCATCATACAGCTTTCCTTTGACAACTTCAGGTGCCATGTATTGGCTGGTCCCGACAACACTTCTAGCAAGCCGCCGCCTCTGATGCCTATCTCTCCATCCGAGAAGGTCAAATGCCGGAGGTTCGCGCGAATCAAGCACTGTTTCCAATGCCTGTTTGGCTTTCTCTTTATCTTCCCGGTCAGTAGCATCTCCCTCGATCTGGATCCCAAGCTTCTTGATCAGGGAGTATCGGTGGTTATTGTAGTAACCCTGGTCATGAGCCCAGTGTCCGTCAAACGCCAGTCCAAAATCCGCGATTTTCAAATGACCAGAAGCGGAGATAAGGAAATTGTCGGGCTTGATATCGCGGTGAATCCAGTTGAGCTTGTGAGATTCTTCAACGCAGAGAATCATCTCAGCAATGTACCACTTGGTTATGGGCTCCGGCAGGATGTTTTCACGTATCAAGAGACCAAGAAAGTCGCCGCCAATCATGTATTCCATAACGAGGTACAGGTTCTGACTGTCCTGAAAGCTTGCAATCAGAGGCACGACCCAGCGAGACTTTGCGGACGCAACCAAGAAGTCCCTCTCAGCTCGTAAATGGCCCTCCTGGCTGCTGCGGAGCATCTCGGCTTTCTTAATAACCTTCATAGCGTAGATCCCTTTCACGCTGGTCGTTTGTTTTCGATGGGCGTTTCTGCCATCAGCCTTCCGTGCACGAACGTTCCTCGTCTTAACCTCGTCTACCTTACCATTTTCGATGGCCGAAGAATCCCCTTCGCTAGACCTGCTGCCTTCGTCCTTCTTCTCCCTCACTAGGCTGACAATGCCGAAACTTCCATTTCCGAGAATTTTGACGATCTCATAGTTGGCAACAGATGCCGCTTTACCAGGAGATGCGTTGTGACAGCGAGTTTTGAGAACCCGATACTGACGAAGGTATTCCCTTTCTTGTCCAATCCAAGCTTTCCTAGCCGTCTCTTGCTCTTCTGGTGTCAAACGTAACGAGTAGATGTATTTCTCTAGCTCAACTCGACGCTGTGATCTTGAGTTGACGTGCGAGAAGACAGCATTGAAATACGTTTCGAAGAACACCTTTGCATTAGCAGCTGCTTCGACGGTGACAATAGACGGGGATTTGTTCGGTAACGCCTGGACTGAAGTGCAATTCTTTTGTGGACGGCCACACTCATATAGTCCTTCAGTGCCTGCCTTTGTCCAGAACAGAGATTTCGAGTTGTCAACTGGAGCAGCAGATTCGTCGGATGTAGGTGGTGTTGACTCTGGATGCGAGGGATTAGATGACCAACAACCGGCACTGCTGGGACTGGTCGACGGATTGGGACTATCAACAGCGTTGTCGCCTTGCTTGCTGAGAGGATCATTCACTCCTGGGTGTTGAACAGCCCAGATACTGGGCCTCGTCTGCAGGTGTGAACGATGAACGACAGTCGAGTTGACAAAAGCCGTGGACAACCTGCTCGATAGAAGAGCGGAGAGGTTCGAGTTCGACTGAGTCTGTTGGGTCTGCGTCTTGCTAGAATCATCGATGAGAGCTCTCTCAAGCTCCTTCCGGTCCTCTTTCTGCCTCTCACTCTGTGGAGCCGTCGAGTCTGATGGTGGTTCCGGATCTGGGGAGGTAGGACTATGGGGCAGGGAAATGACGGGAGCACTCTGCGGACGAGAGACGGTATTCTGTCCAACCAACGCGTCCTTCGCTGCAACCGGTAACGAAAATCGGGAACCGCCGCCAGTTTGCTCGAGATTCGAGAAAGTTCTAGACATCGGACTCGATTCTTTGGCCACTGTATCTCAAGTCAGTATTCGTGAACGATGAATCCATAGAATAAAGCGTCTCACCATTCGACGAATCACGACGAGGACGAAGAAGAGTCAACAACTTCGAACTGCTCCGCTGAAACCTAGAACTGAGTCTGTTCCGGCCTTGCATCACAACGACATCCGAGCCAGATCCATTGGTAGTCGTCGAGGCTCCTGCGGACCGCTGCTCGTTGCCCTCTGCGGCCTTGCTAGACGCCCAGATTCCCAACGGACCTCTGGAGCTCCTGTCGGGTCCCGAGCTGACTGTCATCTCGCTGAGTACTGGCAGTCAAAGAACGAATGAGGGTATGGACTTGGTATATGCGTGTTGCTATTCCTCGGTTATGGTTGGTTAACGATCGTATAGATAATGTGGTGTAATCCTGGGAAGTGTCACGCTGGACTAGAGGTCAGTCCAGGTTGTCGAAAGGATGAATTCCCAGAGGAAGTTGGATGTATCAACTGTGGTAGTATAAAAAGGAAGGTGCGCTGGCAGCAACTGCACTCAATGCGGAAACTACGACTGCGGGCTGTCCATCGCGGAAAGAACATTAGGGCTTCAGACTTCTATTAGTATGAAAAACCAGACTAGTATTGTTCATGAGCCAAATCTGTATTAGGAAGACCAGAGTTATTTATGCCAAGTACACACAACCATGTAAAGACACGAAAGAAACAATATCAACATACACGCACACCCCCTCAAGGCTCATAACTCGAACCGAGAGATGCCGGACTCCTTGCGATATCCTCATCCCTGCTGAATGCATCGGAAAGCTGTGCAAGAAACAAAAAGAACAAGTCGGATATCACAGGAATTGATGCAATTGGAAACCCCTTTAAAACACCATTTTTAGACAAAACAAAATACAGAACAGCAAAATGTTGCAAGACCCAAATTAATCCATCTATTTGATCTCAAGGAGCTTGACGTCGAAGACCAACTTCGAGTTGCCCGGGATGCCGGGAAGAGCCTTCTTGCCGTAGGCGAGATGGGGAGGGATCGAGATGCGACGCTCAGCACCGACAGCCATGCCAGCAACACCGATGTCCCAGCCCTTGATGACTTCGCCCTTACCGAGCTTGAAGCTGAAAGGCTTACCCTTCTTGTTGGCTGCACGAGACATGTCAGTACCAAATAGTAAGCATGAGGAAGTAGGAAAGTGATCACGTACAGTCAAAGACCTTGCCGTCCTCGAGCTTGCCAATGTATCTCATGGCGACATTGTTGCCGGACTTGGCAACAGGGCCCTTTCCGAGCTTCTTGTCGTCAATGGTGACACCGTTGACGTTCTTGACGCCAAGCGTGCCAGTGGTCTCAGACTTCTTGTCCTGCGACGAAGGAGTAGGGCCCTGCTCGAGGTTCTTGGCGAACTGAACCTTCTTGCCTTCCTTGGCCTCCTTGCCCTCCTTGGCGTCCTTGGCTTCCTTGGCTTCCTTGGCTTCCTTCTTCTGCTCAACCTCAGCAGCCTCGCCGCTGTTCTTCTTGAGCTTCTTCTGCTGCTTCTTGCTCAGACCCTCTTCAGGCTGGGCCTTCTTGTCCTTGGCCATGAGGTCTTCCAGGCTCGCCTCTTCGGCGGCGCGCTTCTTACCCTTGTCGGCCTTCTTCTGACCCTTGGCCTCAACGAGCTTGGGAGCTTCCTCCTCACTCTCGACCTCAGTGACTCTGGGGTTCTCCAAGCCGTCGAGCTCGTCGTCCTCCTCATCCTCGTCCATGATGTCGTCCATGTCCAATTCGTTCTCATCGGGAGAGAGGTCATAGTCATCCTCGTCCTCTTCATCGCTGTGGTCATGGTCGTGGTCGTGGTCATCAACAGGCATGACGTAGTTACCGGTCAAGTAGACACTGTGAGTACCGGTGACCTTGAAGAAAATGGGCTCGCCCTCGGCGACAGTGATGTCAAGAGCTTGCTGGTAGTGCTACAAGAGAAAAGTTCTGTGAGCTTCCCATGTCGGTGCAATGACCTCGTGAGTGCTAATCTTACCTTTTCCGGGTCCAAGGTGCAGATAACTGCCTCGTCGACGTCCAAGCTTTCATCATCCTCATCGTCGTCGTCGTCGTCGTCGTCGTCAGTAGCAGGGCCCTTGCCCTTGACAAGCTTGGAGATGGCGGCCTTGAGGTCGAAGTCCTCCTCCTCATCATCATCATCATCATCATCGTCATCCTCCTCATCGTCATCCTCGTCCTCGTCCTCTTCCATCTCCTTCAGAGCAGCAGCTTCCTTGAGCTTGCGGGCCTTCTCCTTGTCGCTGGGGCCGCCGTTAGACTCCTCCTCATCGGAGTCTTCTTCATCATCGTCTTCCCAGTCCTCCTCCTCATCCGACTCTTCAATGTTCATTCCAGGAGGAGGGCGGATAAGCTTAAGAGTAGCACGGGGTTTGCTGGGGTCGATTCCATCCTCGAGCTCGGGGGTCTCGTCGGGGTCAATGGCAGCCATGCTCACACGGAACTGTTACAACGATTAGATTGAACCCGACATGATCATTCAATGTATGCGACGAGGTACTTACCGAAGCCGCGGCCTGGGGAACGGCAGGAATCAAGACTCCCCCAGTGGGAACCTTCAAGGCATAGACTGCGACAGGACGAACAGCAGACATTTTGGATGGATGGATATTACTGATAAAAATTCAAGAAAAAGAACGAAAGTAGTAATAAAGCAGGCAGTAACAACGAGAGTTTAGCAGTCTAGCCCGAATGGTATAAATAGTCCAACAACAGAAAGAGAGGAAAGATTTTTCGCGCGCGAAAGTCGACCTGAAGAAAAACGGCGGGCGGTGGAGTCTTCATTTTTTACTGCCGTCCAATCACATGACTCGCCGCCTTCGATCCACCGAGATTCTGTCAATGCACACCGCCTGCATTTTGGACACTGTCACGTGGTGTCGCGTGAACATCGTGTCTCTTCTCCCAAACATACTAATAGTTCTCCAACACTGAACAACTTGGCCATCTTCCCCCCCCCCCCCCAGAAGATGTGCGCTGCCCTATTTTGCTTCTCGCTGAAGCCGGGAAGACCAAGTCGACCGTTCAACTGATGCGTGGCCAAGGTCATTGTGTACAGATAATCCTCGTTATGGCCGAAGTCTCCGGGGAATTGCTTGCTGAAGGCATGTATACAGTTGACATGGTCGACCGATTTCTTCGTGAGAGGATGATGGGGCCCATGCCACCACCAAATGTCACTACAAATACCAGATCCAACAAAAACTGTGACACGCCGTACCCTGCCGATAAGCGCCAGATCTCGTGATCTTTTTCGGGGTCCGGAGAATCAATCCTCTGCTGTATCCATTTGCGAGGTTTCACTTCCGCCATTCCTTCAATAGGGTACCGTTTAGTTTCAGTCTCGTGCTGGATGGATACCGGTGTTGAGATGACACGCAGGTATGCTACAATTCTTGTGTTGGGCCTCTCCTTATAACTCTGCTGGTTTGCCACCATCTACTCCTGAGAGCTGGGGCTGTATACCAAAGTCTCCCAAGCATCCTCCAGCTCACATTAAGGGTTAACGGAACAATGCGCACAGACAGGACATGGCTCGGGTAGTCTCAGCTCATAGCTGATAACACACCGCTATCGATACCCCAGAGCGTTCAACTGATGATTGCTTCGTATCCACGCAAAACCATACAGAGTATGTTCCGGCTCAAGCTGCGAAAGTAGGGAAAAGCTGCAGATAAGCTGAAGAAGATCGCCATCACGCTAAGCGATACACCGCCTGCGATATTAATCAATTTCACATGCTCACTACATCGTATCCTAGTATATACTCGGCTGATATCACCTCACTTAAGCGAGCATCGCTTACAGAAGATATGCAGGGGCAGCACATGTACTTGTACTGACGTGCTTTGGCGTATATGGCACAATATAATCGATCGTCTGTAATCGGGGATTAAAATGCACTGCAAGTGCCACTTGTAGCGTCCTTGTTCAGGTCGTGGTCTCTCAGTTCTCTTTCCGTCCTTCTAGCTTTACTCCATACAGATACGGACAATGCATTTTAGCTACCTCCTTGCCCTAGCGGCAGCAACAGCTGCGATTCCATTCCAGGACCAGAATGGCGCAACAAACCACAAGCGCGGGGTCCCACCCATCCCAAATCTGCAAATCCCCTGTGGGGATAAATTCATCGGAAGCCCTGCAATTGCAAATCCCCTGCAGCACAAGCCAGTGTACAAACCCGAGGCGATAAATATGCACCAGGACGGCGGTAACACCGGCACCATCGACTATCCGGGACCCCTCGGAAACAATCTCGAGGTTACCACTGCCCTCGAGGGCATACACATCCTTCTCTGGACTAAGAATGGGCAGACGGTAGCTGGGTATACCACCCTGGGACCTAGCGGTCTGAAATGGGGTCTTGTGGCCGTGGACGATGAAATGAAAGTCCAGGATACATGGTATCCTGAGGTGGACGGGCAGACGCTGAACGTGGCATACATGGAGCTTCTTCTCGATACGGATCAAGTCGTTGTCACGTCCAAGGAAGGTCAGGTCTATATCGTGCAGGTATCAGTCGCGGATGATGGTGGTGCTAGTCTGAACTTGGCGGGGATGGTGAATTTGACCTCCACGCTCGCGCCAGGCGAGCTTCTCATGAACGCTATGTACGACACGGACAAGAACCTGTGGTTTAGTAGCGGTGGTTTGCGGTCTCAAGGTGCGCACGGCGACGACCCGCAGAACTCCACTACTATCGGGTACCTTCCATCAGGTGGCACGGGGGATATTCACAGCATACCTATTGAGAACCAGATGATCGAGAACGGCATCGCGATCAAGGGTACCACCGCGTACGTTATCACCGGACCCTCCGGGACAAACGAAAAGCCCGACGCAAAAGGATATCTGTACGCCTTTGGCCCAGGTCCCGGAACCTCGCTCACCACACACTGGAAAACCGAATACGAAGCCGGGGATGTTAAGAAACCAGGCTCCTTCGCGCGCGGCTCCGGCGCAACGCCAGCGCTGCTAGACGACCAATACATCGCCATGACCGATAACGCGAACGGCCGCGTCAACCTAGTCATCTACCACCAAGACGCAAAGGAAAAGCAAGAAGACCAAGTCGTCTGCAAGCTACCCATGTTCCAATCCGGCTCGAGCAACATCGACATCGCCCCGGTAGTCCAAAAACAAGACGACACCTATGGTATCTTCCTATGCAACGACTACAACGCCCCTCCGCTGTACTACGCCGACACGGGCATATTGAACGGCGACTGGAACAATCTAACCCAGATGGCGCCGGGAATCGCCCGCGTCGACGTCACGGCGGACGGGAACTGTGAACTCGCCTGGGAGGTGCCGGATCTGCGTATCCAGTCTGTGCCTCTTATCTCTACGAAGAACGGGTTGGTTTATGGATACACGCAGTCGGTGAAGGATAGTCAGGATGGGGTTTGGGTGTGGTATGTTGTTGCGCTGGATTGGAGGACTGGTAAGGAGGTGTGGAGGGTGCGTGCTGGTGCGGGTGGGACGTATAATGATGACTATCAGCCCGGGGCACTGGGACCAGATGGTAGCTTTTATCAGAGTGTTATTGGTGGCGTGGTTCGTGTGAGGGATGGGGAGTAATACTGCATGGATACACGTGTTATTGCTATCTGGTATAAACGGTTTCTATGAACAAGTTTCTGTCCTCTATAATAATAGTAACCATCTCCACAGCCGCAAATTCAATACACAAGAAGTGGTGTCCATTACCACGCCAAAACATTATAGAAAATAGCTTTTGAAAGTCCAGTGTGGTGAAAGCTTCAGGGGTGTGGCGGAGTCGTTCATAATGAATGATAACCATGTGTTTTTTATAGTAGGATAGATAGAAAGTATGGTTTAAAAGGGTGGTCATAATTCTAGATTCAAGTTCCCAGAGCATCTGCGGCTTGCTCTCATTCATGAAGATAAACCGTCACTCGTGTTGCGTCTTCCTTGCCCGTCCGCGATGCTTGCATTCAATAAGGCGTTACGAGTGCTCGAAGGAGCTGGTGCCGTTGGTTCGTGTCCAGTGTGTCGAAAAAACACCGTCTTGAATTCGCTGGGTGCATTTCCGGTGACTGCAAACGGGTTGGTTCTTTTGACACAACGAATATTTTTTTGGCATCAGAGATTTCGACAAGGCCAAGTATTGGTTGCCGTCCCATGAGAGGTTTCATTCTCTTCAAGGATATTTCTGCAGGCCACAGCCATAAAAAGGACTGGTAAATCTTCGAGCCCACAACCAAACTGTAAGACGCATTGGTACTCATAGGACTGGAATATTATAATGCCCTAGTATCTCCTTTATTGCTTGTCACTGGAGGTTCGAGACAAAGCACAACATATGCTCTAGACATCTTGCATGATAACCGTGGAATCTGCAAAGCAAGAAATAAGACTAGGGCAGACGCTATCTTCACAGTGATAGCATGTAGGGCCATATGCGTGTCAGAATCACTTACCTCGTACTTGTGGCTACCGTGTTACATCCGTAGAGGGGTATATACAGTCAGCTCTTGCAATTTGATCGTTCCAGTGTCTGCAGACATCACATGTTAAGGTGCTTGGATGATGATTCTAATTTTTATTTTTTTATTTTTTATTTTTATTTTTTCTTTTTAACTCGTTGCTCTCTTTCACATCTCGTCATCTTCTTGGATTGTCTTAAGAAGAGCCTCCGTGAAGCCAGCACAGTTTGTCCCCAAAACTGTGCCAATGGTAATGTAATTCGATTGTTGGTATGAGCCAGCTCGCCGCTATTTCTCACATCCCCATCTGAATGACAATACTATTCCGTCTTCCAGACACACGTCACGTTGTCGATGGTTATTTTATTCACGTAGGTTTGTTTGAAGTATGTGTCAGAAGAGGGCAGGCGGAGCCTGGTGAATGTGTTTCTTTTTTGAAGTCTCATGGATCCTGTAATAAAGACGCTATGAATTAGCTGGATTGATTTACACGGGTAAGCAAACATGATGAGGAGAGTGGCCACCTATTGCAGAGGGAGACGATGAGAAGATTGGTGGAGGGATAGGTGCGATATAGATTCGTTTTCTGACTTACTCATATATAGACGTCCAATCATGAGCACACAGCCATATACGTAACACATTAGGAAAGACTGAAAGAGCTTAGTGTAGGGAATTTGCACGGCAAATTAACCCTAAGCTCAGTGGTGCATCTGTGGCGTCAGGCTCCTCATCAGTTAGCATTTGTAGCATGAATGAGACATCCGCGGATCTGATTCTGTGTCCACGATGAATAGAAATTGGGGTCTGACGTACAAGCCAGGTTTCTTTATCGTGTCGTAGCGAATGCTGTACTCATTTACATTGGTGTCTGTATGCCTTTTGAGAAGAGAACAGAGCTCCTCAGCATGCTATCACATTTACGCCGCAGGCCTTTCAATTCCCCGACCATCCTCAAGCTGCCATCGCTGTCGAGGATAATGACCACGTCAGGTACTTGGCAGCGAAGTCGTGGGCTGGTGAACGGTGTCTATTTTGCACGCACGGAATATATAGGTCACGATTTGCGCTATGATCTGCATAAAGCGAAATTGAACACCTGCCTTTTCGCCTACCGAACAGCTTCGTCTTTCTCTCGTCGAAGAAGGTTTTGCTCAGTCCCATATTGGCCCTCAAGGGTTCAGATGTCAACTGCACAAATTCTTCGTTCTTTTCGGGGCATAGGTATGATTCCGGCAGCTTCCAATTGACGCGAGAACGGAACAGTGTAAATGCTGGCGGATGTAACTTCAGGTGCCATATCAAGAAATGGCCTCGTGCTTTGGATAGATGGACTCTTCGAAGGGAGAAAAGTTGCTATTCGCGAGATAGAGTGACTTTGGCACAGGGTGGACAAGCAACTTTCGTCGAAGGTCATCACAGAGCTACTTGGTGAGTCCTGCGCGTGGATAATGAACAAATCCTCTGCACTGTGGTTGGATCCTGAGTATCGTTAGTATCAACATGCTCTGAAGACATAATATGAAGACTCACCTGTCAAGGGAGGAGTAAGTTCGTTCCAGATAGCAGATTCTGCTGTGTCTAGCTGGCTTCAAGTTGTCTCTGCCTTGACTGAGCCCCTTAGATCTGATATTTGTGATTCTCTTTCCGAGAATAACAGTTTCCATATATTCAGGTACTTAAATAACGTCCTGGTTTGACCTGGCTCGAGTTTGACACGAATGAGGTGACCTCGATGGATTTAGTTAAGTTGTATAACTAGCGTTCAATAGTGCCGATTCGGTGAGCTCAAATTCAGCGATGCAGCAACAATCGCCGCCAGTTAGGGCAGCCTGGAAACGGTTGAGCTGGTTCTTGAGCGTCATCCCGTGAGGGGAGCTCGAACAGTTCTACCGTAGATTGGCGGGGAACGGGAGCGAGCTCCTTCGTGTTCTTTCTGATCGACAAGTGTATAACGATTTGAACCCTCGACAGCCTAAGCTCTGTCGATGTACACGCGATTATCGCCTGGCCGTGGCCGAATCTCGCCTTGGAATGGACGGGAGATATACCTGGTGCCGAGTTTGATTAGCTACCACTCATCGTCCGTCAGCACCATTCTTCGCGCTGAGCTTTGGAATCCTTCATGTGCGGGGTGCCGATTGCCGATGGGGCCAAGGACCCCCAATAGGTCCTTTGGCTTGAAGTATTTTATGTCATCGCCGATTAGGCCCTTCGCCTCATGCTTTGAAAGACGGACCTTACGGCCGCAAAATGGGAGCTGGGGTTGTTCGGAAACGCTTACTCCTATAGAGTTCATCTTGCCTCGTTCTCATCTGCGTTGTACACCAAGGTTAAGTGCAGGCAGTTTGAATTCTTGGTTTTTTGTTAACATATCAGCGTTAGAATGTCGACTCAGAATGATCATACATCCATATCATTGGGTCCATCAGTATGTCATGGAGTCCGTCGCAACATCTTCCTGGACGCCTTCTATCTGTGCAGGCACAGAAGGTCCTTTGGACTCATAGTGCTGCCTCAAATGATGAATCATCATCCTGTATATTCTATCAGCAAAGCCTCGTTCGAGTTTTCGAACCACCACTTTGCATCTCTGCGGAGCCTCGGAAGAAACTCTGAGTATCCAGTCTCAATTATGAGTGTTGGCTATTTATGTTCGGACCACCCGACACAGGGCATCTGAGAAAGAGTCGGCATGAAGAGATACCCCAGCGTTCTAAACAGGAGTATATGAAGACTCACGCTAGGACAGGCCGTATTCGATAACCGGTGTGTAAGGTGATCCCCCCCCCGGTTTTGTGTGCTCAACCCATTGCTTTCTTGCAGATAGGTCACCTTGAAAATTGTGCCATAAATGCTCATGACAAACGACTCTTGGTCGAGACAGCCATTCTCAGACGGTTGTTCGGAGTTTCTCGTATGTATTCAAGGAGCGTTTCATGGCTTTCGCAGCGAGAGGCTACGGAAAGCATGGCTCCAGCGTCGAGCAGAAATACTGTGCTGTAAAAAGAGCAACTAAAACAAGCCATGAAAATAGGGCACATGTGGAGAGGTTGGTGCACTATTACTTGGCTGACCATCTGCGCCAGTCTTTGTTCCAGTATATCTGAACGGTTCTATATAATATGCTGATTGAGATCCCGGCACGTCAATCCCGTCGCTGCGTAAACGGGCCATCGGAGCAATGGCATGTGGGAAACAATTCCTATAATCGACGATAAATTGAACGCTCAACACAACACGCTGAGGGGCACTTATTCCTGTATAGTGTTACTTGCGTGTCAATTCCGGGACGCTCAAGCAGAGCAATGTGGTCTGTCCATACATATATGTTGCAGATTGGGCAGCCTTGAACCTAGTATATGAGCCACGTGGGGCCTGTAGTCTTTGTCGACAAGGTCAATTTCCACTTCACTCCTTTCACCATGACTTGTGTGGGTGTTTCGAAAAAACGACATAAAAGGCTTGCGTCAATGTCTATTAATACGACCATGGGAAAAGACCAAGGAGAATCGGTCACGATTAGGGCATTAGAAACCGGTTGGGATCATACAAGAGTGTACCTCGTGAAACAACACTTCTGCATGATCCTCACTATCGAGCCCGAAAATCAATTTCCATCACAATCTGTAAGAAACGAGCATAAGACACCCATGCTTGACAGGGAATCACTTACAACAATGACTCAGACATTAATGAAAATAAATTCATTGGCCTGAGTTTGCATTATTCCAATTATCAACTGGACAATCGTTTCAATTGTTAGCGATATGTCGAAGCTCTAGTGCAAATGATGCGTGTCTATCCAACAATGTGCATCCTCGACAGCTATTATCAGCTGGATCCGGGTGAATCCACAAGCCTCTGCGGAACATTGCTAGAGATTTGCGAAGCGAAAACATGTGGCAATTGGATCAAGAATATGATCATCAGGTCTGGACGGAGATTTTGGCCGTGCTTCTTCGTTTTTGTTGTGGCTGGGATACCCAGCAATGCGCTGTGCTGCTCGACGAGCCGGTGCCCTTGTAAAAGGTAGTTTCGGGAATAGCACGAGACGTCGTTCTTGGGTTTCACAACCCGCAAGCCTTTGACCATCCCGGTCTTTGACTTGAGGATTTCTGGGTGTTCCTGTAAATGCTCGGACAGAGATTGTCTATAAGGCGCTGGCACTTCCAATTTATACTGAGAGGAACAAGAGTTAAGGGGACCAAAAACAGCGCAAACAAGGGTCCATTCTCGACATCGCTTTTTCGGCCGGGGCTTCCTGTGTGGACGTTAATGGGTGCAACAAAGTTCCCACGTTTCGATAGTGATGTCCTATATACTACAGCCAGTCAGTATCATTCGCCTCCCATACTAGACTATGAATAAAACTAACCTGCTGCGAGTTGAGCCGTCTGGGCTTCGTAGGCAGAAATGGTACCGTCATACATACAACTTGGACAAACTGAGGGTGCGACAGACTGAGGGCGCAACAGACATGCAACCTCCATTTGCAGTTGGCACGTGCCTCACCACCATCCAAGCAGTTTAGCAGGCATGGGACTGCCATGGCCATAAGGACATTCCAACCGCTCACGTCTCCAATTTTGCACAATGAACTAAGAAACGACTGCAGAGGCCGAGCTCTGGGGGAGGGAGTATGATCGGTTCGTTGTGGCCTTTCTTTTCAACAGTTCGGTGGAAAGCAGAAACGACACATATAGCGCGGCCATAGACGGTTTCCTTGTAAGCCCAGTGTTAAGCTAGTCGATAGCTGATATAAAATTCTGTATACAGTGCGTGTCTGTCTATTTGCTGTTAGGAATCGAGTTTGTTGACGAGGTGCAATAGACTTACACTGGTTGGTAAACATCCACCATAAACCTCAGCATTTCACGTATCCCGGGCTGTGGCTAGCGTGATAGAATACGATGTCGGGTATGTTCTTAAATAGGGATATTTCTCGAAGAGTTGTCGGGAAAAAGTACTCTATCATGCGTATAACTTCCTCATATTGATCGCCTGGTATGATGTGCAGATGTAATCAGGAACTCGTAGTACAAGGATGAACCGTATGTGATATATAGAGATGGCCAGAAATGAGTAAAGAGGGAAGGGTGACACATGGAGGATTTTCCTGGCGGTGAATAAAAAGATTTATCCCCATTGTCTAAATGGTCTACGTAGAATATTCCAGGGCAGCAAGACAAATAATCCCGATTAGGAAACGCGGGGCTATACAAACGCAGCAAGACATACTCCGGAGTACAAGCCACCAAACGTGCCCACACAGCTGAAACACGATTAAATCTGAGACATGTTCTTACAAAGAATTCCAGAAAATATGAGATTGTGATCGTCAGTGGCGATTGTCAATCATGATGTTGTACCATGGTTCCAACAGGAGCAGACAAGTCTATACAAGAATAACTGTTTCAGGTCTAAGAATATCAAAGTATATTCAAAGCATGTTCAGATTTAGTCCACTAGATACAAAATCTCCCAAGTACTATACGTATCCCTCATTCCCTCACCCATTCCAAAAAAAAAAAAAAAAAAAAAAACAAATGAAAAAAAAACGGATTGAACGCGGGACTTCTCGCATGCAAAGCGAGCACTCTACCACTGAGTTACACGCCCTGATTATCCTGGATTTGCGGGGTATTTGCTATAGTTACCCACCACAAAAAAAAAAAAAAAAAACGAATGTAAAAGTAACGAGCTCTCAAAGCCGGTTTAGCCAATATAAGCCCAACCAGCCTGACTAGGCTGACCACCCTGCACCAAGAACCCCTCCTCAGCCCAGAAATACGCATACCGAGTAACCATCGACTGTCTATCCAACCACGGCTGCACCTGGCGCAGGAAATTTGCAGAAGCACTCGTCAACCCACCGCTTGAGATGTCCGTGGTAAGCGAAAACTCGGTAACCCAGACTTCCTTGAGCCCCTGCTCGTTGGCAAGGTCGATGGCCTGCTGCACGAATTTGGTGAATTCACGAGGTTCGGTCCCGTACCAGTGCACGGCCATGACTCCGATGTCGCAGTCGGAGCATGAGCCCAGGAACTCGCGCATCCAGGATAGTCCCTTGCCTGAGTCCTCGGAGTTGGTGACGCCCGGGGAAACCAGTGTAGCGCAGCCAGCGTAGGGGGTGATGAATTGTTTGAAGGTGGAAGCGGCGTCGGAGACGGACATGGCGGCTTGGTCGGAGAGGTCAGGCTCGTTGAAGCCCATGATGTACTTGCTGCTGCTGCCGAAGAGTATGGTTTCGATGTTGGCCACGAAGTCGGCGATGGACTTGGTGCCCCAGAGCATGGGGACAAACTCGACGCCGTCTGGTAGGGTGCCGCCGGGGGTTGCGGCCCAGTTGTAGGCCCAGGAGATGGCGCCGTTTACGTCGAGGTCGCGCACGGCATTGATATCAGTATATGCGGCGCCGCGCTTGGACTGCGTGGCCGTCTCATTGCCGCTGGATCGACGCAATGGAGGAGGGAGGGCAAAGGCCGTTGACGCCAGAAGGGCGGTCGAAAGAAGGTTCTTCAAATAGACCATATTGGAAAGGAATGCAAAAAGAAAAAGAATCGAAGCGAGAAGCCTGTCTCGGAACTAGAGAATGACAAAAAGAGCGAGCGTCAAGCCGCAACGTGCGCTGCACGAAATATAGTAAAGAACGAGGGGAATGAGTGATAATGAGCGAAGAATGAGAGAAGTGAGGGCAAGAAGAGGAAAGAAACCGTGGGTGGTGGTGTGGTTTATATGGCCGAGGAAGAGAAGGCCGGAGGGCAGCCACGGATCAGTCACTCTGGATTATTTGATTGCGATTCACTTCGACCCATGATTGACTCAGCTTGAAAGAGGGTCCCATGTTTCGAATTCTTAATTCTTGTCGCTATCCTCACTGATTGGGCTGTTATTCACAGACCAAATGCACCGGAGCGCGTCTATACCGTTGATCTTCAACTCTCCTAGTGCCCACGTCAGCGCATTCAACCACCAACAGTATTCTATACTCTTACAAGAAAACATGCACTTCCCCCTCATTCTCGCAAACAATTCTGTAGAGGAGAGAGGTGTGCCTCCTTGTCCCAAATCCTCGCCGGACTGACAATCCGTACCAAACTTGCGCATCTCCGGTACAGTCGCTCATTGGCAAAAAAGCACCCGCCGTGGAGCCAAAATACGGCCAGAACAGAAAGAATTGTCAGTGTTCCATTGGAAATGCAGTGGAATCCTTTCGGTAGCCAATGATTTGTATTGAAACAAGGTCCACTGGCCAGGAACACACAATGCAGTAACCGAGGGGCACTTCCATTACAGTTAGGGTTGTGTCACAGGTACTCATACATAGTACAAAGGAAAAACAGTAAGTAAAGAAAGGCCCAAAAAATAGAAACATGCTACTTCCGACTCTCCAGCACCCCCATTACATCGGATGCATTTTCCTTGTCCCCCTTCCTCTTCTTCGGTCCTCGCTTCCTCTTTTGTCCCCCACGGCCCCCGTCTCCTTCTAAGCCAATAAACTCCTCGTCCTCCTCGTCCTCGATCCGACTGCCTCCGAAACCCATGTCCATATCCATGGCATCCTGCGCCTCGCGACGCCGCATTTCTTCCAGAAATCGCTGACCACGGCTGTCGTCTTTCTTTTCTTCGTCTCCACCTGCGGATGGCGATGCTTGGCGTAGCGCGGCTGCTCGTTTGAGCGCTGCCAATAAGGAGGGGTCCCGGGTGAGTGGATTGGCTCTGGCACGGTCCTCGTCTTCTTCTGTGGGTTCGTCGTGCGTGGATGTCGAGAAGTAGTTCCGTGGTCGTGATGGCTGAATAGGTTCCGTAGACGGTGGTGCAGGTTCTGTGGTTTTCTTCGGTGCTTTTTCGGCAACCTGTCCCTCCTCGTCGGAGTCAGACGAGGAATCGTCTTCACCAATATCCGCCAGCGGATTGTAGTCTGCGCCCACTCCCTCAAAGATGTCATCGTCTTCGTCTTCTACGGGAGCAGCAGCGGCGGCCGCCTTCGATGCAACTTCTGCAGGCACCTCCATGCCCAGCGGTTTCGCATCTTTATCAGGCACCAACAGACCGTTAGACTCACCGGGCTTGTCCAGCCATCTTGTCTTCCGTTTCGTATTCCCTTGTGCATCGGTAGTGAGAAGGACCTCCCTCCGCCGACCGTTCTCGTCTGTCTCCACCCACCGCTTCTTCTCTGGTCTCGACTCGCCCAGTTTCTTGAACTTAGATCCCAGCGTCGACTCCGGCGGTGGGGCAGGTTCTGCGGCAGGAGCTGCGCGACTTGCTCTGAGTTGTCGTAGAATCTCATCCCGGGATTTCTTCTGTGCCTGCGCCTGTGCCTGCGCAGGGGCCGGCGGCGGTGCCATCGTTCCTTTCTTCTTCTCCTTCTCCTTCGGAGCGACAGGGGCAATATCCTCCTGTCCTTTCTCTTCCGTCACCCGCTCAAACTCTGCCTCCAAGTCTACTTCCTCCTCTGCCCCGTCCCCTTCCTCCCGCTCTCCCTCACCCTCCTTCTCTCCCTCCTCCTTCTCTCCCTCCTCCTCATCCTTCTCAGTCCCCTTACTAACATCCTCCCCCGCCCTAACCCTCCTCAGCAACTCCCAATCCAAACCCTTAACCATATGCGTACTCCCCACATCCCCCCCAACACCCAACTCCCCGCGTAACTTCTCAAACATCCCGGCATCAATCTTGCCCTCCTTCACCATCTCTTCCAGCGCGTTAATCCGCGTCTCAATATCTTTTGCACTATCATCATCTTGTGATTGTCGTAGGTGTGTGCGGTCTTGGTAGCCGGTGGGTAGTTTTGTGCCCTTTGGCGCGGCGCTGGATTTGAAGCGTTTGGTGGGTGGGTGGTGGCCTTCGCGACGGTAGTCGGCTAGTTGACGGGCGAAGTTGGGTGTTGTTAGGGAGCGGCTGTTCATACGTATCAATTAGTATCTTAATTTCGATTGTACCTTTTGTAGGTTGGGGAACGTACGGTGTCATGGGAATACTTGAGCGCATCCGCGATCCCAGCGCTGTCGCGGGCGTCGCGTTAACGGTGCTTCCATCTTTATTCCCGCTTAAACTGGGGCTCGTGCTGGGATTGGTGTTGTCTTGGATGAGGCGACGAAATTGTTCGTTGTTCATGGTGTCGGTGCTGGGCTAGCTCCGTCCCAGGTAGAGATTTCGCGCGCGCGAAAGAGAAAGGGGAAATTCGATTTCGTGAGATAGGTAATGGACAGCGTAGAAGTGTAGGAAATAGAGAAAAGGGTATATCGAAGAATGAATCCAGTTGCTGGACTAAAAGTCGTGGTAGTGTCGAAGAAAGTCGAGATGAACTTCGCGCTCCGGATTTATGACGCTGTCTTGGCATTGCTACTCTGCTCCGAAGTATACAAGTCCAGCAATATACAATCATTCATTGCTCAGAATTAATATCTACTTGCTTGAAACTAGGCCAATATGTCCATTACAATCATGTACTCCACTAGAAACACAAAATAGACACCATCTCATTCACAAATGCAAAAATTCCCCATAAATACACCCATTAGATAGTCTCCCACCCGCCGTTATTAATATCAGCCTCCAACTTCCTACTAATCGTCGCCGGAACACCATGCGACAGCCACACGTCCCTGAGAAGTCTGTCATACCGCTTCTGGTTGAGGATCAATTGGCGGTTGCGCCGCAGGCCGGGGTCCACCTCGCCGTGTCGGTCGAGGTATGGGGCAAAGTGCCACGAGCCGTTGTGGTTGTGGAGGTAGAGGACGGTACATTTGCGGATGTTGATGAAAAGGCCGATGTTTTTGCCGCATCTACACGGTATTTGTTAGCATTGAAGTCAGATACAGAGGTGGTGGGGACAGGGACTCACTTCTGGAGATGCTGATTACATCCGCCCAGCTTATCCTTCATACAGCACACGGCCTGCGAGCAGAAAATATCTCCGCAGAACAAGCAGATGCTCGGATCAGTCAATTCCTTCTTTGAGGTCGGGCATCGTCGGCGATTGGCCTCTTCGATCAGACTGTCGAAGTACTCGGGCAATCCAATGAGTTCGAAGATTGCCGGGTGAGAGAGACTGGGCAATTTCGAGTCACCGGCATGACCGAAAACATTGAAGTGGTGCAGCCAGCCAGAGACCACTGCATTGAACGGGTCATTCCTCTGCGTAGGGTTCACAAAAGCGAAAAGTTCGTCGAGCGACGGGAGGTTCAAGGCCCTCGTGAGACGGTCGAGTTCCGTGCTCTCGTCGAGCCCGGCGTTGGGGAATTCGACGCCATGCTGCACATGCAGCAGAATGACCGTCTTGCGGAGGAAGGTCAACGCATAGCTTGTTATCAATCTTCTTAGTGCAATAACCACTCCGGACGTCGCAGATCCCTCGCCTTCCTTGACGTAGCCAAACTCCGCCGAGTTCGCACGGAGTCCAGCCACGACGGAATCGAAGAAATGCTTGGTGGAGCTGAACGCTTCGTCGGACAGTTCGACATCCATCAAATAGTGCGCATCCCCATTCTCGGCCAATTCCTGCTTAAGTCCGCTCGGCTCCAGGATATAAGTGACAGCAACCTTGACAATCTCCGCCACACAGCACATCTGCACCAGGTGCCGCACATCGATTTGCAGAACCGGCAAAAGCGAAAGCGAGCATTCAGCCAAAAACACGAAGATGTCCTTAGAAAGCAATGGCTCGATTTCACTCGCACGGTCCGGAAGTGATGTCTCAGCCAGACAAGGATGACCCACGAATAACTGGTAGATCTTCTGGCGATGCATGTCCCGGAACTCCACCGCAGAACGACTGACCGATCCGCCGTTGTTGTGCAGGGACCCAACTGCAGCGTAAGATAGTGCCGTCTCCGCCAGGACACGCAAGTGAGTAAGTGTCAACTGTGGAATCTTGTCCAGCAGAGTTGCGCCAAACTCGGACTCCACGCCCCGCTGCGAGATCTCCACAGAGGCAATGCTGAACCCGAAGCTCCGGATCAACGAGTCGGTGTGAACCATGGCGTCGCCTGTCATGATGTCCGTGGGGTAGTTGAACGCTGACTGGACTTCGTTCAACTGTATCGTCTTCTTCAATCGCCTATAGATCTGGAGGAGTTCGGACATCGGGCTATCACCGGGACTAGCAACCTGCGGCAACGGGCTGGAAGCCGTGATGTCTTCTGTAGTTGGGAACAGCCCCGGCATCGGCATACGCGCAGGCGGGACATAATGCGCTGTCGATGGGAGGGACGACGACATAAGTTGCTCAACCTTGGCTGCAACAGGGGGGGCCAGCGTCTTGGACAGATACTCGGCAAACAAGTCCTGGTACGAGTGCAGTTGCGAATTATCATCGCCCGTGAGGAGCGCGTAGTTCCGCGGTTGTGTAAGAGCAGATCTAACCTCTGCATCAATGAATTCGCCAAAAGAGGTGGAAACATTCAGAGCACCAGGGTAGGACTCTTCCTTGCCCTTCCAGGTGATGGGAAGGAATGCATTACCCAGGGCTTTGCAGAGGGGACAGACGAACTCCTGGCAGGTCAGACGCTCCGGGTGGTTTCTGGCGATCTGCTGAGTGTGGCGCCTCTGTGTCGCGGTGTAGTACACTTCGAAGCACGAGTAGTGCATAATATGACCGCAACCAGTCGTGACAGGACCTCGGACCATGTTATCCGCATTGAATCCCTTGCTCAACCCAATCTTCTCGCTGATAACCTCCCCACCAGACGAATCCAGTCTTCGTACCGTAGAGTGGTTCTCGCCTGCCACACCAAATGGCCGAAGATTATCCGCAGACATATCCAAGCTAGACGGAGTCTTGAGGACTTCCCTAATCCAGTCCGAATCCCGAACATCCGTCTGCCTCAGGATACTACTGTCCTGGACGAGAGCAAATGTACCATAGACCCTGGAGTCATTGGTCTCTTCCTGGCAAAGAATGCAAGTCCCGCTGGGGTACTTCCACACCTTGGCTTCTTCAGGAGCAGCCTCAGCCTCAGACTCGAGATCACTCAGATCTTCGTCAACGCCCCAGTCAATACCGCCTTGAGTGTTCATGAAGTTTTGTTGCTGCTGCTGGAACTGAGCCATCACCTTCGCCTGTCTCTCCAAGGCCTGCTTCTTCTTGAGCTCCTTTTCGCTGTTGTCAACTTCGCCAGCAGGAGAATCAGTGTCGACCCTGTCGAACGGGAACTTGAGCGAAGCGGTCGCCGATTCATATGCTCGAGGTCGCTTCTGCCAGAACTTCTTGAGGATATGGCGAATCTTTGCTTGGCACGCAGAGAAGTCGCTCATCGCAGAGATCTTTTCCAACAGCCCAACGATGGTCAGGTTGCCTGCTTGTGTCATTCTGGCCTTCGACAGAGCGTGGGAGACAAACGATGCTCTGGGCATGTCACCTTCCGCGGTGCGGTCTTCCAGCGTGGCAGAGAGAACCAAATGCAGCACCACCTGAAGGAACGTCTCAATGCGAGTTGGCGGGATAGTTGGCGTACGGTCCGTCGACGTCATCACATAGTCAAGAGTCTGGTGGACGATCTGCGCAAAAAGCGGCGTCCTGGTGAAGTTAGCAAGGTCAGAGAAAGCACCGGTGTTGATGGGCCGCAGCTTCGGCTCGAACACAACATCTGATGCCTTCTTTCCTGTCTTCTTAGCCACCCACTCCCTGTACACATTCTCCGCTTCGTCGCGCTGGTTCTTCGTGTAGTGAGCGCTGTACGGGTCCACCATGTCGATGTATTCCGGCTTGAGCTCGAATGTACCCGTGTCGTTCAATCCCTCAGGCGGACGGAAGGTGGCGACCTCCTCCAGCACGTCTTGGAACATATCCGAGTCGAGCAGCTTGTCACTGAGGCGAGTCGAGAGGTCAGAGAACGAGAGAGGCTTGAAGCACAACACATGCGCGACGTCCCGGGCAATGTCGTCCTCCATCACCGCATCGCTGTCGTCACTGGCCGTGAGAGAAGACCGGTCTGTCAACAAGATAACCAACAGATGGACAAATTCTTCGGCAACATCAACGATCTGGGGCTCCTCCCATTCTGGTCGCGGGGTGTAATCCCGTGTCATCCAATCCGCAACGCGGAATCGTTCAGCAATGGATGCGAGAACCCTGCTAGGATCGCAGGTGACCATGGCAGTCTGGAGAAGGAAGATATCACGGTAGTACGCAAAGTCGCGAGACGACACACCCCGGTACTGCGACATTTGGTGGCGAAGACTGAGACCGTTGCGAACCCACATGCCGGCCTTCATCTGTGCCAACCAAGCGCAAACCCTAAGCGGATAATCGAACATGGCGAGCAACAGGTCCTCGGGACTAAGTTGGCTGTCGTGAATATACTTGGCATTGGCAGTCTGCGCAGCGTCCAGCAGGACCTCGCGCATCAAAGTGTTGCTGATGTTGCGGCCACATTCAACCAACCACGACAGCGTGTAGTGCAAAGCATGGTGGAAACTAATTGATCCCTTCTCCACAACGAAGTCTACCACGCGATGACGAGGCATCTGACCCGACTCATCGGCCTCAAAGTCGAAGCACGGCAAGGACTTGAACCGGACATAATCCTTAATCTCAGCCTGGCCGAATCGCGCACGCTCAATACCCGCAGAGTGCACCACAGCTGAGATAGTAGCGACCCAGACAGCTCTTAGAAGGTTGCGACCACTGTCGAGTCCCGGCTCTCGGAAGGCCTCGCAGAACTGGCAGCAGAGGCGGTTTATCTCGCGCATGAGGATGGATGCGGTGATCCACGAATCCGTCTCGTATTCCACATGTTCGCCCACGGCGCGCACGTTCGGGCAGATTCCTTGCGACAGCTTGACGAGGTCCAGGAACTGGGAAAGGTACTGCTCCTCTGTCCGGACACGCTTCTGAACGTACTCGGACTGGAGCAGGTGGCGCAAGTCTAGGAAGAAATGGTACAGACGTCGGTTGCTGACTGACCCAGAATCGAAGGCCAGGGTCGCGTTGGGATTGACTTCATATGGTTCGCCAACCTGCCTCGTGGTCAGGAAGGTGTAGAGGATAGCCATGACCTTGGTCAAGAAGTTTCCACGCAGAACGATTTCCTCTGTGATCGAGGGTGTGGTGAGAAGCTGCAGTGACAAGTTGACAATGGAGTGATCGGGCTCTCTATCCGCAATGAGATACAGCTGAGCAAGTGCAGTGTACAATGCAGATAGGCGGAGACCCATGACGCGCTTGAACTCAGGGACATTGACCACGGTGCCGATATAAAGGTCGCGTAGATCTGTACGAGTCTTCTTCCACAAACGTAGGTCGAAAAGAACCATCCAGTCGAGACGGGTGCGTTGATACAGGTCCTCGTAAGGTGGGATATGTTCGCCCTTCACAGGCATGTATGCCTTGACCTGCCAATAGCCCGGGGTCCTTGCCGGAGTTGTCCTGATAGCCCTAGACGGGGTTTTGGGAATGGGTGGGATATAAGACTGGGAATCAGGTTGGTTCTCTGTGTCAACATCCTGTTCATCCGGCTGCTGTTCCTCGTGCTCAGTCTCTTGCTCTTGACCCTCGTCCTGTTCCTGCCGCTCAATTGTCCCTGCACGAGCCTGAGCATACTCAGCCAACAGTGTCTCTGCGATCTCGAGCGGATCGTCGGCATTGCCCATAACCATGTCTTCGTCATCGTCCGCAATATCATCATGCAACCGGTTGAGTTCCATCTCCATTTCCTCATCCTCGTCATCGGCGTCATGAGCTTCGACATACTCAAGGCCCTCGTCTTCGTCCTCGTCCTCGCCCTCGTTTCCCGCTTCATTGGGAAGACCGGCATCCTCGTCGTCATCCTCATCCTCGTCGTCATCAGGAGGCGCCACAACCAACGGTCCATTTGGTGAAATATGAACCATGACAGTCCGGTAGGGTCCATTCTCGATTTTCTGGTGATCATCGATTCCCTTCATTCCAATACCCGCATTGCAGGCAGTACTGCCGCGCTGCCATGTGTTCATGAGCTCTTCGCAGATGGTGTGACGCAGAATCTCATTATCTTGCTGGATACTGCAACCAGCAACATCCGCGAGCCATTCGACAATCGTTCCGCACATTTGCTCCCGGAAGATATCCCGAGCAGAACGCACCGTGACAGTCACCTTGATCTGCTCGATGATGTTTGATGTCGTCAATAGCTGCGACAGGTTCTTCGAGTATTTGACCACACTCCTCCCAATATCATTCGTCTCATGTGCCCTTTCAACTCCAAAGGCATCTCGTTCCCGACAGGCCCGGGTCACCTGTTGAGCCACATCTCTAATGGTATGTTTTTCGTCGTTCCAGAGCGCAAGGGCAAACTCCGGCTCTTCCTCCGGTTGATCACCCTCACCATACCAGCCGGGACGTAGCCGCGACGCCTCTTCATCCTGTCTGATCCCATCTTCAGTCTTTGCCAATCTCAACTGCTCAGGTGAGCACGAAATGACATCACAGAAGTAGTCGAGTATGCGCGAGATCGTAAGCTTGATATTATCCATCCAATCCTGCGGCAACTGACTCTGAGCACGCTCTTTCCCCTTCGCCTCACCACTATCGGTATGGATCGCGCAGAACAACGGCAGTCGCCACGCCTCGTCGTCTCCGCAATCACAGCATCCGCAGTTCCCCGCCGACAAAGAAATCTGATACTGATGGCCCGTGTGGTCCGACGCGTCAAAGCAGCGACTACACAGCACACAGGTATCATCCGCCGCGCAGGTAACACAACGGTACGTCGCTTCTCCCGCTCTGAAGATATGTCCGCATCGCTTGCCCCGCGCCGCCTCAGTGTACTCAGCCCCTTCCTCAGCTCCTTGGGCTTCTGCCAACTTCCATGATACAGCTTGAAGACCGTCGGGGAACAGGATTTGTAGGCGTTCTTCGTTGTAGCCGGTGAGCGATCGGAAGAGGAGCTCTAGCAGATCCTTCTCTGCTTCGGGTCCATAGCGGTAGTTGTGTTTGGATGGGAGGTGAAGGAGGCCTTGGCCAAGGATTCTCTCACATTCTGTGAGCATCATTTAAAAAATCCGGAATTCTATGAGGGCGACACCATCCGGGTATCAGAAAGTTCGTTGGGTGTTCGTTGGCGGGACTTGGATCTGGCAATATCTGCAACAGTGGTCGGTATTGACGGGGGTATTTTCGATAGAGAAATATGTGCAGAAAAAGAGGTATCTCGATATGTAAATCTAACCAGAAAAAAACCACATTAGTAAGTGCCGCGTGTGGTGAGAGTTGCGGTCCCTCGTCACGATAGGATAGTGGGGGAGAGCTGGAAGCGAGTCTGGACGATAGGGTCGAGTACTAACAAAGCCGGTCGATTCGAGTCTCTCGGATGAATCTTGGGTGTCCAGATGCCCTCTAACAATAGTCAAAGTTATTGTAAACAGGGCCAGCGACAGCAGAAAAAACCGGTAGTAGTGAAGAGTAGCAGAAGAAAAAAGAATTGCTGATGACATCGAGGCACAACAACCCCGAGCGAATCAGCGCCACCGGTCCACGAGAGCAGAACTATTACTATGTACCAACATTGTACAGAGTATATAAGAGACAATTGAGCTAAATTGCAGTTAGAAAAAAATATAATCTATTTCATTGTACAGTCCAGTTCTAGATAACCATAATTCCCGGCATTCCTCCCCGGGCACTAGAGTAGCATAGTGGTAACTATAACATCACAGAATTGCGCAGCTGCTTATAGGTATCCATGCTTTTATTCGGTGTCCTCCATGCTATCAACGCGCTCGTTTACTCGTCGTCCTCATCCTCTTCCGCCTTGTTAAGGTACATAGGCTTGATGTCCTTCCATTGCCGCTATGAACCGTCAGCATCCGAAAGTTCCAAGAATTGTAGGAGGGAAACATACGCCGCGGTTGACGGTGTCCCAGATCTTGTTCGAGGCCGAGTCAAAGGCACTATTGGTCATTCGCATTAGCGATCACTGTACTTGTAGCGATCGGTTGAAGGGCAGGAGAGCGTACATCTCGAATGCGAAAGCACCAGAGAAGATGCCGGCCATGAAGACGGCGTTTCTGCGGATGATGGATCTATAGCACAGGGCCAGTTAGCTCTTGCACTGCTTTGTCCGAACAGTATTATCGGGAGACATGCTGGTAAATGACTTCAGCGATCTGCTACCGGGTAGAACCCCCTCAATTAGCCATTGAACCGTGACAAACATAGAAAGCAGAGACAATACTCACTCCGGCCATGGTGAACGATGAGAGTCCGCAGACAAAACCCGAGAGAGCAGCAAAAGGGAGAGTAAGAAGCGAGGTCGTGGTGGTTTGTCAAGGGTACGTCCAGCGAAGTTTCACGCCCGGGAGTCGGCGAGGGAAAATCAGCGGCGCTTTGATTGGCTGTCCGCGACAGAGCCGCCTGACCGGATTTCCGCAGCACACTCTTCTCTCTCTAGTACCTACATAATACGGAGAAGGATTCAATTCTTCTACAGTGAACTACGACTCTTACCACGCACAATGGCGGATTCCTCGCAGCTCACCAAGTCCGGAATAGCGACAGACGCCACAACCGGCGAACGATTCATCCCCTCCTCCGTCCGCGCAGATGGCACCAGACGCCGCGAAATCCGAGTCCGACCGGGCTATAAACCCCCCGAGGACGTCGAATTATATAGGAACAAGGCCGCCTTGGCATGGAAGAACCGTGGTCAGGGTGGAGTGCCGGGTGCTGAGGGAGTGAAGAACGACACCCTCGACTCCAGTGCTAAAAGCGAAAGCAATACGAATCTTACGAGTGCTGCAAGCAACAAGAACGCGAAACGCAGAGAGGCGAAGAAGAAGGCCAAGGCTACGGAAGGTGAATCTGGTGGTGATGGTAGGAGGAACATCGCTGAGATCGACAACTGGCGCTCTTTCGCTGCGGGCAATGGCGGTGACAAGAAAAAGACTGAGGATGGTGCTCAGAAGACCGCTGAAAAGACCACTGAGAAGACCACTGAAGAAGCACCTGTGGACCTAGAAGCCGAGAACGAGAAAAAGGCACGGAATCTGAAGAAGAAATTGAGACAGGCACGCGATCTGCGGGAGAAGAAGCAGCAAGGCGAATCCTTGCTTCCGGAGCAGTTGGATAAAATCATCAAGATCAACGAACTAGTGCGTCAGCTGGATTCGCTTGGTCTCGACTCGAATGGTGATAAGAAGGGCTCGGATGGAGAAGGAGAAAAGAAGGAGAAGGAGAGTGCTTAAAGATGGGGCATGGTTTCTGCTCATCCGAGCGTTGACAACTACGAAAACGAACCACATCTCGCCCAGGACTCTTGCCTCTTCCTCGCGCCACTATAACACGGTCGACTCCGTGTGGAATGGGCCATACTTGTTCAGCACCAAGATTGTGCTAGCATATGTCCGTTCTGTGCGTGCGAAACATACATGGACTCGTCCATTGCTCTCTGGCAAGGCGGATCTTGGAACATCCATCTCATACGTATCAGATGCGATCTGAAGTGATGTGAAATGAACAATAACATCTACACTTGCAGGCGTGCTTCTAAGCAGTCATGCAAAAGATATCTACCACGAGTCCAGGATAGTTCACGAAATTCATCTTTTGGCTATGATAGCCATCGCACTTTTGCATCGTATCTAACTATGTACACTTATTATACAATCATTGTTCATCATCTTTTTTTTTTTTTTTTTTTTTTTTTTTAAAAAAAAAAAAAAAAAAGCGTTACTGCTCCGATAGAGGAACATCAACCCACTGAACCGGAGCCATCGGCAATCCACCCTCCAACACCCACTCCTCAGAATCAAACCCGGGATGGTTCATCTCAAGATCCAACTTCTTTGCCCCAACACCCAACGTCGCAGCTATATACGCCTGTCTGACACAGTCCGTGATTCCAACACCGCCATACCAGGATCCCGCCAGGGTAAGCCGTTTGTTGAAGTCATCGCGGACAGACCGTGAAAGCTCCTGCATGCGCGATACGTGGCCCACGGTGTATTGGGGGATGGCGTTGCGCTGCAGTTTGCTGCGGGCTAGGGTTGGTTTGTCTGTGATGTTAAGGTGTCGTTCGAGGAGAGAGCGGGCCATTTTTACGGCTGTGTCGTGATCCGGATAGTCGGATTCTAACCAGTCGTCCCACCAGTGGCCACCGAACATTACCGTTAGTTTGGTGCCCGGGGCGGTGTCCTGGCCGACGCTGGAGTCAGAGCCGAAGATCACGCCTAATGCTCGCTCTGGGTTCTGGTCGAAGGGAATCGATCGAGGGATGAGGTAGCCGAAACCGGTGACGGGGAGGAGGTCTGGGTTTGGGTAGTATAGGTTGACAACCATGACTGTAGTTGCATAGTTGTGCTGGTTGAGACAATTGATTGTACTTTGCGGGGATTTTTGGTCTTTCTGTGTAGTTCGGCTAAGTTGTTGAGCTAGGATTGGAGCTGGGTTTGTAGCAATGACCCGGTTGTGAGTTTGAGATTGCTCTCCATAGTCGACCTGTACTTGTTAGCCTAGAAGTGATAGCTTGAAAGAGCCACTTACAATCAAGTCAGACGTCTCCGGATTCTGACTGATAGCTCTAACATCAGCATTAGTGATAACCTCCACCTTCTCATCCCTATCCAAAGCCGCAGCCAGAGCATCCGACAGCTGCCCAACCCCATTCTTAAAAGTCAATGCACTAGACCTCGCAACCAACGTCTTCAGCATCTTCCAATACTCGATGTTCTTCAATGGGCCCGCATTCCTCCGAGCCAAAGAGTCATCCACGCGCACAATCGCTCTTCCTGAACTTTTGATGTTCAACAGGGACCCGATCACACCCCGGTCCGGAGTCTCAAACGTCCGGATCTGTCCCAGAAGAGCCTGCGCACTCAGCTTATCAATGTCGCCCGCGTAGATACCATGCATGATCGCAGATACAAGGTTATCGGCGACATCTGGGTGGAGTCTGCGAGCGACGAACTCCGCGACGGACTCGTCTGCAGGGCCCGGGATGAGGTCCAGTTTCAATGGTTCTGTGACGACGCCTTTTATGAGGTTCTTGAATACCGGTTCGGACAGCACGCTGCCCAGGATCGAGACCGCATTCTGTATAACCCCCGCTTCCGGATCGGGGCCTGGCATGCGGACGAGGTGATCGGGGTAGTAGATGTAGCGATTGCGAGCCGCGGGGGTATCCTTCTTCGTGAAAAGGACTTCATCATGAAGGTCCATGTCAAGAATCTATCCCATAAACAAAAATCATCAGTAAAGCGCCAACAATCACTCCGCATTCCCACTCACCAGATCAATCAACGGAAGACAAGCAGGTGCCGCAGTCCTCAAGGTCCGCGGGCCATATTCAAAAACGACACCTCCCCCGTCCACGGGAATCCTCTCAGACAGCATCCAACCACCCAGCCGTCCGGACTTCTCATACAGCGTCACCTTCGAGCATTCCGGGTCCTGCGACAATCGAGCGGCTGCCGTGAGGCCGGTGATGCCGCCGCCTATGACTGCCGCGTTATAGTTCTTGGTTTCGGTGTGCAGGGAGTGTCTTTGGCCATTGCGGAAGAAGGACGATTGCGTCCGGAGTCCTCTCAATGCGCGGCTAGGGACACATGGTAACCGCATCTCAGCAAAGTGAAAGAAGTGTGTTGGTTGCGAGAAGATGGCCGAGAACTGCGATCCGGAGTTGGAGATGTCATAAATTACGGTATGGTATGGAAACCTCATGATCATCCAGTATGCCCTACAAGTACTCTGTACATCATGGATAAAAGTGATGAAGGCGAAAAGCATGCTGCTATCATGCGTTTAATATTCAGACTCTATTTACATATATTGATCGTTTCCATTTATCGAGATCCAAAATCAAATAACGCCCCTCTCCTGCCCAAAGCAAATGAACCGAATTAATACATGAAATTATGAAATCTTCTCAAGCATCGTTCTTCTAACTCCCAAATAGAACCGTGATGAGCAATCGCCCATTGAAAGAAATGAGGACATAAACCAAGAAAAGAAAAGATATTTACGGGTATCACGTCACAATCTCCTGAGAAGAACCCTCGTTGCCAGCACCGGGCTTGATCAGTTCTTCCTCTTCTTCATTCTCGTCGGCAACAAATTTCCTCTCGCTGACATGGGATTTCTCCTGACCGTCGGCCGACCAGACCTTGTCGCCGAATGAACCTCGCTGGCCATCGGCATGCTTGTACGGGCAGGTAGGGTTAAGACAAGGGTTGAACTTGCACGCCGTTTGGAGATGCGTAAATTCACAGCCTTCGGCTGTGCAGTCGGCGCCGTTGCGGCAGAGAGGCATAGACGGGTGCTTGAAGTGGCAGTTGGGGTTTGCGCAGTTGGGAAAGAATTTGCACATCGCCTCTGCCTGGTGTGCAGACTTGACTGCGGGCGAAGGATGACGGGCAGTGCATTTCCGGTTCTTGCACGCTGCTCCATACGTACAGTGATCTGCCGGGTCAATCGGGGCACCCTGCGGAGCCGCGGGGGACTGGTGCGCATAGGGGCAGTCTGGCCGAGTGCATCGCAGGTTGAAGCGGCAAGGAGAGTTGGTATTGTTCTCGTCATGCTGTTCTCCCTCCTTGGGCTGATCGGTCATATCCATGTCGTCGCCGCCGCCGGTGTTTCGCTGCTGTCCCTGGTTTCCAAAGGGACGTGGCCCCTGACGCTCAACGCGATCGAACAACGAGCGTCCCTGCTGAGGACCGTTCTGCTGGAAAGCCGGGTTGATCGCGGGGGGCATGAATCCGGGCATAATCTGAGCCATCATCCTCGCCTGTTCTTCCAGTAAAGACATGAGGTGCATCTGATCTTGCGAGTTCATGTTCACCATCTGGTTGCCCTGCATGCCCATTCCACCCATCTGCCGTCCACCATGCATCCGGCCGCCATTCTGGAAACGGTTACCCCTCTGGTCACGGTGAGAGTTTATCCGCCCAGCGCCCGGTTGGCCACGAATGCGATGTAAAGACGAGTCTGCGGTACGGTCCATCGTTCTGTTTATTTGGTTAAGCATCCCTCCTCTCCGTCCTCCTCGGCCATTCCGCATTGCCTTTGGCCCGGTCGGACTATTGACACAATTGTTAGCTCAGGATTCCAAACAATGATTCGCAATACGACTTACATTTGATCATTCATCGACACATCTCCCATCTCCACATTCTGCCCGCCACCATCACCCCAAGGCTGAGGAGCACCCGACTCTTGCTCAACAGTCGGAATAACATGAGTATCGCCCGACGGCGCGCCCCCACCGTTGATCTGCCTGCTCAAAACATCGACCTGCTCAAACAACCATCTCGAAAAGTCCAGCGCCTGTGTATCCCCTTCGCCAAGTCCCAACAAGTCATTGGAAAGTTCTCCGGCGATCTGTTCCTGGGTCTTCCCGTTGACCAGCATCAGAATCACATATTCGGTCAAGGCTGAATCGTCGCCCCCTTCGGAACTCCAGCCCATTTCGACCAGCTTGGGCTGGATAACATGGCCCAGGGCCTCCGCGAGAGGAGTACCGACAGCCACCGCAGTAGTCATTGTCGAAGATATCGTAGGGCTGAGAAAATAGAGGTTTCGAAACAAACGGAGCGTTTGACTCGTCCCACGCCACCTGTCGACCGATGCGAGCAGATAGGTTTTAATTCTCCGGTAGAAGCAATAGGTTGGAATGGCGGGGTTTAACGGCACGAAGGAGGAATTAGGTGGTGAAAGAGGAAAAGATGGTTCTTTTCTTGGTCCCTTTGGGCGATGATGAAACTGAGCGCTGAAGAACGCCAAGAAGTGACTGATCACGTGGTGTGGCTAATGAGTGGCAGCAGAATGTCATGCAAATGATGCAAACATCACCTCTTCAGGCAGAAGTCCTCAAAGTCACAAAGTGCACGAGTAGAATTCAGTCGATAGATAATCGTATTTTAATGTCTGTAAATCGCTATAAATTGTTATGTTAAGGCAAAAGTACATTGCTACTGGTATACGTTGGAGGAAGCATGGGACAATATTATCCTTTTCAAGTATATACGAGCACAAAGTAACAGCATCTTGCCATCTTCCGTAGTGTCCAGCAACAGCCTCCATAGCGCGCACCCCATGATCGAGCTTGACAAAACGAGGGAATGATGCAGCAATAATATAGCCATAGCCACGCCAAACCACCGCCAAACCAGAGCCCAGAACGCAAAAGCACCTGCAAATCATGGCCTAGACACAACAATACCCACCCACCCACACCAGCCCCGGAAAGAACAATAACAATGTGATGAATCTCACTGGCAAACGCCGGAACAATCACACCAAATCAGAAGTCAATACTCTAGACTAGTCTTGGATTGTCGACCTTGGAACTGAGGGGTTCTGCTCCGCCGAGGGAGAAACAAACATGCGCATCGTCTCGCATCACAACTGGCATAAAGAAAGACGCGCCCCTGGACCGGTCTTATTTTGAATGAATTTTATTTTTAATCTTGCATAGCGGTGTCTGTGTTGCATTTGTTCTGTATGTCCACTGTATGGATGCTCTGACAGTGTTGATTGTTGCTGATGGTCCATGCAGACTCACGCCAACATGCTCGAGAATATCCTGCATGATTTGACGCCTGGAACGGCTTCACTCTGGCTCATAGGACTCTTCTTTCTCGCCTGTCTGCTTCGCAAAGCACAGGTCTCTGCTGAGATTGCGCGCATAGGAACCAGAGCTCCCCAGATCCCGTTTCGCATTCCATACGGTATGCCCGGCGATCCATCTCTTCAACAGAAAAGTGCTAACGCGCACCAGCAATCGACTTCATTGTCAGATCTAGCAAAGCAAACAAAGCCTACAAGGATGTCGAATACTGGAGCAACGCGATCAAAATCGCCAACGAAGCGTACCAAGTCGACCACGCGCAAACCGCCGAGATAGACGCAGGTATCTCGAATCGGATAGTCATAACGACAGACCCGGAGAACATCAAGGCCATGCTGACCCTCCAATTCGGGGACTTTGGCAAGGGCGAGTCGTTCCATGAAGAGTGGAGAGAGTTCCTGGGGGATAGTATCTTCGTTACTGATGGGGACATGTGGTCACGCTCGAGACAGCTTATTCGACCCATGTTCACGAGGGACCGGATTGTCGATACGGAGATCTTTGAAAAACATGTCCAGCATCTTATCCCGTTGCTGGCTGGGGGTGGTGCGCCGGGGGCTAGTAAGGTCGTTGATGTTGCCCAGCTGTTCTATCGATACACCCTGGATGCAGCGACGGATTACCTCCTAGGCCATGGCACAGAAAGCCTTCAGAACCCGCAAGTCGCCTTTGCAGAAGCGTTTCGATATGTGCAGCGCCGTCAAGCCCAACTGTTTCGACTGGGGTGAGCCTCTGCCAAAAGTAGTCCGAATAAGTCATCCTAACAAACGCTGCAGCTCCTTCAACTTCATCCTCTCGCGCAAAGAATTCCGCGAACAACTCAAGATCATGGACGAATTCATCCAGCCCTACATCACCCACGCCCTGTCCCTCTCCACCGCCGAACTCGACCAGAAGCTCTCGACGAAAGAAACCTTCCTCCACGCCCTCGCCCGCTTCACCCGCGAACCCCGCGTCCTGCGCGACCAACTCGTCGCCGTCCTCCTCGCCGGCCGCGACACAACCGCCGGCACACTATCCTTCATCCTCTTCGAACTAGGCCGCAACCCGCACATCGTCCACAGACTGCGCGAGGAGATCGGGTCGCGCCTGGGCCTAGGCGCTAGCGGACGAAAACCCTCATACGCAGACTTAAAGGAGATGAAGTTCCTAAACGCTGTAATCAACGAGACAATGCGCTTCTACCCCGTCGTGCCCTTCAACGTCCGCTACTCCCTCCGCGACACGGCTCTTCCGCGCGGCGGTGGGAAGGACGGCCTCGCCCCTGTTGGCATCCGCGCCGGCACGCGTGTCGTCTACTCAACGCTCATCATGCAGCGTGATCCGCGGCACTACGATCCGCCCGGTTCACCCAACTATTTCGATCCTGATAAATGGATTCCCGAGCGGTGGGTGTCTGGGTGGCAGCCTAAGCCGTGGTATTTCATACCGTTCAATGGCGGGCCGCGGATTTGTATTGGACAGCAGTTTGCGACGATTGAGATGGGGTATACGCTTGTGAGGATTCTGCAGGCGTTTGAGAGGATTCAGGCGATGCCGGTTAGTGGGGGGGACAGGGTGGAGGATCCGTTGTTGGAGTTTGAGGTTACGCTTAGTCCCGGGTCGGAGATGAATTGTGTTTTTGTGACGGATGGGGAGGAGGATCTTTTGGAGAAGGATGGTTGATGTTGATCGTTTCGTCCTATATATGAGATATATGAGTTGGATATGTTACACCAACACGTGATGGTACGACACATTATTATAGCTGCATATATATTTCCATTACAAGGGTAAATGATAGCATCGTGGCCATTTTCGATCTTTAATTACTACAAGCTCAATGCTAATAGGACGGATAATGAGCCCTAATTGACTGGTCTAAATCTGTCTTGCCTATCAGTCTCCATCTCCTAGAAGCACCCTATCTCATCATCCTCCGTCCCAATGAAATAGCAGGTCTATCCAAGTCATCATTCTCAAATCTACCACGAGTCAGCACATCAAGTTTCCTGGCCCAATAATGTGGAAAAAGACATACGACAAAACAGCCACACTCGACGGCTCCATCAACAATCTTATACCATGATCCAACGGCTTACCCGCCCATCGCAACGCCAGCGCAGCCAAAATGTGCCCATGACCAACACAGACAATATCACGGGCCGATCGCGTCGCGTGGGCAATTTGCCGTCCGCCGGGCCATTCGGTCACGTTCTTCTCGATGCTCTGACGGATCTCTGCTATGAGTTCGTCTAGGCGGGCTGAGACTTGTTCGGGGGTCCTATGTGTTCGTATATTATATTAGCATGGTGTGAAAAGAACGAGGGAGAATGGGATAGATGGTGACTAACTCTCCTCCCGGGCAGCCATCTCTCCAGATAACCCAGTCCAGACCCCCAGGTTGACGCGCAGAGATCTCTGTCAGTGATAGTCCTTCGTACTCCCCGTAATTCCATTCATTAAGCCACGACGTAACCTGGATCATAGACTCTGAGGAGTTGCCTTGAGATCCCGTCAACGGGCTAACTGTCTTGCTTTGATCATTCCGGTCGAGGAAGCTTTGTTGACTTTGGACGCCCAGCTCAAGGATCTCGACAGTCCGTCTGGTTCGTTTCTGTGGGCAGGTGTAGCTAGAAAGAAAACCCAATTCAATTAGCAACGGTTCCCAACAGGCAGAGCTAGGAACACTTGCATCCTGACCACGTTCTCTGGGTCGATCAGTTTGTTTCTTCCTATGTAGCAATCTCGAGTCTCTTCAACCTGGCCCTCGCCTTCTCTGGACATGGGCACATCAGTGAAGCTCGTGTGCTTGCCGCCAACAGACAAAGCTGTTTCACCATGACGGATCAGGAAGACTCGAGCTGATATGTTATGGACCATGGTGATTAATGACAATGAGGAAGAGACGTGCGCTTGTGAGAGAATCCCCGGAGTGGTAAAAGGAGAAAATCCTGAATGTAGAACTCAGTCCTAAGATAATTTAAACTCGACTCACAATGTCTCTTGGTTCAGGAATATTACTGGGCAATTACTAGGAGTGAAACCTCATGCTGAGGTCAATGTCCTGGAACGCGATTCCCGATAATCAACCACCTACACGGGATGCAGTTCCTGCCAGACGGTGCCATACAGCAATTATGACGTTTTTGGCTTGAATTCCTTGGGGTTCGATAAAGGTGAATCAAAATGGATGAAACTGACGCCGGAGTAAAAGACAGGCAATAAATTGGAGAAGGCAACAGGGTTCACTAGTCCCAAGTGATCGGGTCGTCTACTCTTTCCAGGTAATGCCACAGTCGAAGTACTTCAGGATATCAGGATTATCATTAATAAAGAGAGTCGTAATCTATACAGCATACACTTTTCTCGCTTTGCAGGGGAAGAAGGAAAACCACGGGGAAAACGCCAATAATACAGGAAAACACAAATACAATGCCCCCAAAACAAATGCTACCCATAATGAATATAAACCGTAAAAGAACAACAAAAACACATGACATAATCCTCGTTAATAGTCATTCCGTCGTTTTTCAATCATGAACTCATGTCCGGGTTGTCGTTATGGAGAGCTCAGAACATCGCAAGTGCATTACCAAATAGCGCGCAGACAACACCAAGAGCAGAAATCCTGACCGTATGACTCGAAGCACCAATAGTGGGAGCGACATGCACAGGTCCAGTATATGATGGGTGGCCATGGTCCGGGTGTTCGTTGCTGTCATTAGCCGTTGCGGTTGCTTTAGACTTGGGCGTATTAGATGAAGACGAAGAGGTAAGAGAGATCGAGTGACTAGTCATAGGGCGAGAACTGATAGGACTTGCGGAGCCGGTAGAGATAATAAAGCTGATAGGGCTGGTAGAACCGATAGTGCCGATCGAACTGGTCGAACTGGTCGAACTGGTAGTGCTGGAAGCCGCCGATGACACGCTGCTCGATTGTGTCTCAGTACCAGAGGGGGAAAACGGCACCCGCGAGGAGAGCGGCGAAGCAGAGGTAGATCGGACCAAAGACTAGCAATCATTGTTAGCTAAATCTGACACGTTCAGGAAAACGCAGGGACTGGGGGAGTGCTCACTCACAGAAGACGCGCTGGGCGGCTGGACAGATCCGGATCCTGAGAAGGTCCAACCGCTAGGCAGCGACGTCGATTCCGAGGTCGAAGAAACCAGGGTGGTCGGGGTAGGAACCCAAGGCCAGATGCTCGGAGTCACAAAGCTCGACGTTTCACGGTGCGTTCCACTCCAGGGAATAGGGATGTTTTCGACAGTTGAAGTCACGGGGGGAGCTGCCACGGTGGACTGAGGCGCGGCACTGTTGCCCTCGACCTGGCCTCCTTCGGCGACAATGGACTGCCACGAGCCGCTCTTGTCACCGTAAGCGTACGAGCTTCCGGTGGAATAGTCGGTCACCTTGAGTGACTTGAGGTACATGGTGTAAGGACCAGCGCTATAGTCCGTCTCACCGCCGGCCCATTCTGTAAAGTCATGGCAGTTAGACAAAGGTTTATGGATACAACAAAAGCAAGGGTGAACTCACGAATCGTGCCGTCAGCGTTGTTAGGGTCACCGCCAGCCCAGACTCCGATCTTGACCATCATGGGCGACTGAGGGTACTGGTCGTCGGGAGAATCGTCCGGAGTAAGAGAACGAACAGTCTGACCATCGATCTGCCAGATGATCTGCTTACTCGTCCAGTCGATGGTGTAGGTGTGAAATTCGTCGTGGTTGTTCCGGTTGTCGTGGGTGGCTCCACGGTTGTAGGCACCGGTGTTTCCCTTGCCAAAATAGTTGGTCTGCACATAGAGATCGTTGACTCCAAGCCATTCCCAGTCAATCTCGTCCAAGTCGTCTGATTGCAAAACGGCACTGCTGACAATGCCCGTTCCGGGAGCAGTCTTGATCACGGCTTCAACCCGACCAAACATAATGTACCACTTGGACTGGATCAATGGAGCGTCACCCTGCTTGGCCACAGTAAAGCCAGCACCATTGGAGTCGTAGTTGGGCGTACCCACGTCGGCGAATTCGTCAGAGTGGCCGTCGGTGAAATCGAAGGTAGCGGACCGTCCCAACGCTGGCTTGGGGGGGCAAGCTAAGAGACAGTTTGGTTAGCAGATAATCGTTTAGCCACTTTCTTTGGACGGGAGACTCACTCTTCTCGAGTGGATTGCAGTCAGTAAATGTCTGAGCAGCAACCCCTGCGGAGTAGGAGAGAATGCTGATGGTCACACCAACGAGAGGGAGCCTCATGATGGCAGTGACCTAGTGACTCGGGTATGCGGTTGAAATGAGAGATGCAAGACTCGAGAGTCAAAAGACACTAGAGTAGAGGATATGCTATTTGCAGATGCAAGATGCAGGAACAGATGGAAAATCGGTGGTTGGAGGGAGAGATGGGAGGGAGGAAGAAGGACGATGGAGGAAGAGAAGAGGAGGAAAAGCTTTTAACGACAGGCGCAGAGGTCTGAACTGACAGCAGGGAAAGGAAGGCACGTCCAGCTGTAGCCACAAAGAGAAGGCGCTGGTCTGACTCGATCCTTCCCGGGGCCATCACCAGCCTCCCCAATTTCCTGATACGGTCAACAGTTGTGCCTTCCCGTTGCGGTAATTTTCTGGTGGGTCACAGCTCCTGTGGGACTACCGAGAACCAATGACAGTCACAATACTAATCCTTGATCAGATTTTTTATTGGTCATGACAATAAGCTACGCCAGATCTGGTCTAGTTCTATGTCACGTGAGAGAATCAAGATGTGCATAGTACTCCTTATCACTGCTAGTAGCCTGTACTATGTATGTACAGAGTACTCCGTAGCTATGGAGATATTTATTTTCCAGGATTTATTAGGAAGGGGTGACGGGGTGACACCCTGTCCCAGGTGGTCTTGAACGTGGTTTCTGTACGAGTAACATATTGTGCATCGACTTGGTTTCAAGAAGAAAAGGACCAAGTGGAACAGTGTATCCATTCTCGTTCTCTATAGGCTTCTATAGGCTTGAATGTTGATACTTGCTGGGCCTTTGCATTTACTTCTATACTCTGTCGGTCGGTCACTGAGACTAGTTTCTCGTCACCGCCACGGCCCATTCCCAGCCTCCTCTTTTATTGGATTTTTTATAGCACAGATCTTAGTTCCACTACGGAGTACTCCGTATTTCGTATTGCACTCGGAACATATATAAGCCTCTTCTCTCGTGCAGGTTATCGCAGACATTGGTGGAAGAGAAAGAGATCAATAACCTTTTACGCCATTTTGATCGCCCATTTCAGATTGCTCCACTCCGGCGTTGACATTTATTTCGTACAAGTTGAAGATACGGGGTACCTCAGCACACCTACACACGAAGTAGTAACTATATATCGAATAACGAGCTGAAGACAATGCACCATTGTCATCTGTACAACCACCGGTTGGTTACATCCGGTCAGCCACGTGCAAAAGGGATATCTCATCTGGATACGGTCGTGATATCATGACTCGGGCGGTTCCGCGGTTGGCGGCGGACAAACGGCGATTGGATCTGTGTTCATACCCAGATAACACGGTGATTATTGTAGAATGAGTGGACTGGGAGTATCATCTGCGTCATGGATCACCGTCCTTTGCAATAATAATAACAATGCTCTAAACGCCACTATTGGGAGGTTCATCTTCCGGCGTGTTTCATCTGCCTCGATCATCGTCTCAAACAACCTCCGGCCGTGAAAAAGAAAAAGTCTCGGATCTGTATCACATGGGAGGGACCTCTTTCAATCATCCAATTTCGTACCCCATACAGAGAAACTCGTACCCCGTACGGAGTACTGTATATGATACCGTCTATGCACGCATCCCACCATGTTCGACCAGTCAATCCGGTCAGAGAAGAGGGGAAGACGTTAATGAGGTGCGGGATGAAGGACGGGCCAACTGTCAGCTAGCCTCGAGGATCGTATCAGGTGGAATTGGCATTGTCTGTGCCTCTGCCGTTAAAGAAGCCGTAGCACGAGTACTCCGTAGTAGCTATAGCAATAGGAGAAAGCACAGACAGCGTCACGGATCATTATATCAACCCTCGGGCAGGAGGAATATATACAGAGTACATACTACTTATACGGAGTAGTATGCAATGAGTTCTGTTCTTTGCAATTATCAGCTAGATCATCTCGAATCCTTTTTCAATAGTTTGCACTTAACGGAGAATGTACGGAGTAATTACACACAGAGACGTAGAGTACTGAGGCTGACTCCACTACCCAATCTGGTAATCCTCTCTTGCGGCTCCGTCTCTTGTCTCTCTCCTCACCCTCCAATCTCCCTCACACACACACATCTTCTCTCTCTCTCCCCCTCTCTCTCGCTTGTCTCGCTTGTCTCGGTTAATCAATACTCATTCTCCTATCTTGATTATTATCCATCACCTTTTCTCTTCTTCTCCTTTCAGCAAGAACATCCCTCCCTCTTCAGCTCTTCTTCCCCTGTTGTCTTCGTTCGCCTCCTTCCCCTCCATTCAGCAGGTCTCTGCCCACAATGTGCGATGACGTTTCCTGAATGTTTTGTACCTCCCCCCTCCGCCAGAACTGAGAGAGACAAAAGAGAAAGAGATAGACAGAAACAGCTTTATTAAAGCCCGTTTTACGGCTTGTCTCCCTCTACCCGTCGCGCCCGAACGCTAAGCCCCGTGCCTTCCAATAATATTCGCCCTTGTGCATACTACGCTACGGAGTACTTTTAGTACCATCACTACGGAGTACTACTACCACCACTTACTTCCACCACTATTACCGCTATACCTAATATATATTCGCTACGACGTTTGATCATCACAGCACACTTTTCACGAATTCCATGATCTATCCTCATTCTTACCGTACCTTGTCTCGATAGTGTGCTGAACTCG